TATCAAAATATGACAAGCTCATTATAACAAGCCACTCATAAATCTTGAAACAAAGGCACCGCCGCACATTTTGAAAATAGTAATTTTATGCAATTTGCATAGGATGATTTTATTTGAAACCAAGGCAGGTATTTCTTTCTATTTGCACACATAATGCTGAAATGAATTATACAATAATTCCACCACCCACCTCTAAAGATGGCCTGAAATTAGTTAACAAATGGCTGCAAAATACTTCACAATCATGAAATGCAAAATAAGACTATCTTACCCATAAATTCTTCTGCACAGCACAATTGGATTATGCTTCGATGGAAAGGAAGAAATAAACAGTGTAAAAAGGCAAATGCCCTGGAAGTAATCTTCTGGGTCGAGGGTGAGGAGAAGGGTTCTATAATGAGCTTCCTCTGGATATTAAAATTCACCACGTCCCTGGTAAGTCTCACCATGGCCTCAGGGGACATAGGCAAATGTGTGGAGTGAGCGAGCCCTTCTCCATAAAGACATAAATAAAATCTTGCAGCCCATGGCACAAAAACAACCTCTAATTTTAAATATTTTACTAGCGCCTTAAAAAAATCCTAAACCCAACTCAAGTCAGCTCAGTTCCTGATTGGTAGAAATGATTTGTCCCCCGCATTCTAACTGCCTGGCAGAGGTGAGGGTGTACCTAGTGGGCATGGAAAAATAATAAGCAATCAGAGAACACTGTTCTGCCTCAGCAGAGGAGCCAGTAGACCTATGAAGGCTGCCTGGCGGGAGACCCTGAGCGTCACCAGGAAGCCCTCCACTGGGCTGCGCAGTCCCTTTGCACACCCGTCCTGGGGTTTGGGCCCATCAACATGGCAAGATCCATCAGAATATATTGAACCGAATCAGTTGTATGTTGCACTACTAACAGAATAAACCTAAGCACACATTGAACCTACTTATACCTGACTGTCCACGTCCAGGTCTCTGTCCTGGGAAGCCTTAGCAAATCCTCAACAGGAGAATGTTAAGATGTTACGATTTCAGGGTAAGCCAACAAACTTAAGCTCTCATAATGTATATGATTCACAGTAAAGAGAAAACTCTGGTCGACTGCCAAAACTGGGAAAAATAATTAACAAGCAATTTCAGTTTCAACTCCTAGTTCCAATACTAATGAAAAATGTATCCATTCATTCAGAAGTGAAATGTCCCGAGCATCTGTGACAATGGACATGCCACTCGGATCTGCACAAGCTGGGTCCTGAATTCATAGTTTTCAGAGCAGCAGAGGGGGAAACAAGGAGGCAAGACAAGTGAGAGGGAACAGAGCCCCGATTAGGCAAAACAAAGAGCCACTTACTGGGGCTGGACGTCAGGAGAGACCTCAAGACAGGTGAGACCTCAGCTGAGACCCAAACAATGGAAAGGTGCAAGAAGTGGACAGATGTTCCATGCACAGGAAAATCATGAGCAAAGGCCTGGGAGCAAGAGAGAGCACATCCATCTGGAAGAACAGAAAGAAGTTCGTCATACAGCAGAGAGTTGGGAGAAATGAAAAGCAGGCTCTCTAAGGATTGCATGAGAAATGGGAAATCATGAAAAGGTATTTAAAAGGAAATCATAAATATATTGTATTTTTAAAAATTCTGACTGCACTGTGGAGGAAGAATTGGAGAGGACCAAGAACAATGTCTAGGCAGGAGAAAATGGTAACTGAGTAACGGCAGTAAGAACAGAGAGCTGTGAACAGGTATAAGGGCTGTTTAGCAATCAGAAGAGACCAGACTTGATTGGACAGGCTAGCATAATGAGTAAGTGTTTAGATGGCTTGGGTTCAAATCCTGATTCTGCCACTTACAGGGAAAGTCACTTAATCCTTCTGCACCTAGTTTCCCTTTCTGTTGTGTAGAAACAGTGCCTACTCGTGGGGTTGTTATGAAAAATAAGTTAATTCACAAAGTACTTAGAACAGTTCATGGCACATGATAAGTGCTCAAAAAATACTGTCTATTGAGTATAATAGTTCAAAAGTAGAAACAATTGTTCATTAACTATAGAATGGGATGTGGCAGAAAAGAGGAGACAACGCCAAGGATCTTACCAAAGGGTGGACGACACTCCCTGTGCTAGTTATCTACCGACGGCATCTCAGCTCCAAATCCACGCTTCACTTCATGCTCTGAGAGTGGAGGCGGACCCAGTGAGCTTCTCTCCTTTGCAGCTGGCATTCGGCTTTGTCGACAAAAGGCACTAGCGGGTAATGCAGGCAGAAGGGACTTCTCTGTCTGGCTCCGACGTGCTTCCATTTGCTTCTTTTTGCTCCTACGCAGGGCTGCCAATGGTGCATGTGGGGTCATCCAGCAGTTCTCACCCCCATCGAAGTCCAGGGCACAGGTCCATTGAGTCTGAGATACCCCAGAAGTTGCCTTCCCAGCCTTGGCCTAGCTGCACCCTGGAACGGTGTCTCCCACTTGTAATAGTGGCCAGGCACAGCAGGGGGTAACCCAGCAAACTTCTCTGCCATCCACACCTTCTTCATTATGGTCTGAATTCCAGTCAGTTGTCCTTTCCTTAGATATTCTCCCTTGATCCCACGGTATTCTTAACCCTTTTATAGTTAGTCCCTTTTATAGTTCATAATTCTTTACATTAATCATTTCCTGTTTAAATTACTGTATGTTTTCTGTCTCCTGATTAGACCCTGATCAATACAGTATTCTTCATTGAAATAGGAAACATAGAAAAAGAGACAGGTATTGAAAAGATCAATTACGTTTTGGGCACACTGGGCTTAAGATGCTTGTTGGACATCCCGACGTCACTGTCTGGTAGGAAGCTGAGTCTCTGGACAGTCTAGAGCTCAGGAGATGTGTCCAAGCTATAGAAGGGCTTAGAAGAGAATAGCCTTAAGGTCTCCAAAATCTTAGTAAATGAAGCATGTATGTAAAAGCCACGGGTCAGGAAGACAGTTTTTTTTTTAATTTTTTGTGTGTTCATAGGTCTCATCAAGAATCCCTAAATGCGTTATATGTGTGGCATTTCGGCAAAAGACGTATGGTAGTTTTGTGTTGTGTACATTAGGTAATGTTTTGTATCAATTGACGTTTTCCAAACTAACTGTAAATATGGTTGAAAAGGGCCAAGCCCTATAATAGCCAGATAACCCTAATTACACTCCCAGCCTGGAAGCTTAAACGTGGCGGAGGCCGGGGAATCATCAGCCATGGCGGCTACTCTGGATCTACAAGCAGGAAAACTCTCACTCATGTTCCAGAACTCTAGGAAGCGCACTGAAAACCGGTGAACTGCTCAAGTTTGAAACAACTAGATACAAACATACTGTGAAGAGACCGGTCCGCCCCTTCTACTTTTTCCAGAGCGTGGACCGCACCAACATAACTTGCTCCTTGCTTCTCTCGTTGCTCAAAAGTTTGGATCTACTGACCACAAAAAAAGGAAGTTCCATCAGCAGTTTGCAAAGAAACAATTTGGAAGAGAAATGTATTAAATCCTCAGGGAAATTAAACCCAAATAATCCACTAACAGCTTTACAAAATTAACATTAGACTATGAATTGAATTAATTGCCTCTTACTGTGGGGATCCTCGGCTGCCACAGACCAAAACAAATGAGGTCAATGATGTCAACTGCCTTAGGAGAGGCCCTGGGCAAGTGTGACTGGGGGCACCCAAGAGTTTACCCACTGTTGTTTTCAACTTTCTGATTTATTCTAGAGATCTCTACTACAGAGACAGCTCTTCACTTCCGTCCTCTCACGCCTCAGGTGATGGTAGGTTGGTGAGAGAGGCCAAAGGTAGCACAACTCTTGACACAAAGGGTACAGTTTCATCACTCACTCTTTTGTGAACTCGCCTCTAAGTGTCTGTGTCTAGAAGTAGCTAGGGTGTTGGAAATCAGTCAATGTAAGGTCTTTCTCTTCTGAGAGGGGTGAATGGACAGGTGGGAACAAGTAATGATTTCTCTAGAACCTAGGCAGCCTAGTGATGGGAAAGTCTTTAAGAATGCCAGTCGTCTGCTCCAAGAGAAACTATCTTTGGCATTTCAGTAAATAAGCATTTATTTCTGTAAATTCTTTTCTTATGCCATGATGTCTGTATGCCCGTGGCAATGTGAGATTACTTAAATAATATGAGCCAGGGGAGCCACAACAGCAGCGTGTGTGTGACTTACCAAACCTCTGCTAGGGTTCTTAAGGGCTTTGAGGAGGAAGGTAGGATGCAGCATCTCATAAAAACAAAATCCAGATGATTTATACAGTTTTGCCAAATAAGGCCCACAGGGCAAATACAAAAGGCCTTGAACTGCCTCCAGCTTCTCCTGAGACAGCCAGTTTGTCAAAATGCCTGTCACGTGGTCTTACGCGCACCCTTCGCTTATGGCTGACATTTACTCCCAGAGCTCTTCAATAACCAAGCAGCATTTTGCAAAAAGTTAATTAATGGCATTTTATTTGGGCATTGTGTGACTTAGAATTATTTTCACGTTCTTTTTTTTTTTTTTAATCCCTTCACCTTTTTCACCTAGCCCCTATTTTCACATTCTTAATTTTGTTTGACATTTTGAAAATAGTATGCCTAGTTCTTTTATGTGGATTAAACAAAAATTTTTTTTTAATGTGGCTAGCGTGCATTGAATACTGTTTATCCCTTCTCCCAAGAATTGACGCAAACACCAAAATATGTTTTGTTTGAGGTTGGAGAAATAAAGCATTGTTTGTTTGGAATCTTAATTACTACAGTCCCAAACTTCCCTAATTAGAAGCTCCTTTTTAATGAGAAAAATTATTTTCAAAGTTAATGAATTTGCAAGCAGAAACACTGCTGTCTTCCAAAATGCATTAACCTCATTCCTTACAAACATGTTTTAGTGAAACACTCTAATTAATATTAGCACTTATTATTAATTAATTACTTTTCTTTGTTTTTAGACAGTATAAAAAGACCACAACATCCCTTCTTGTAGACATCAAGCTGCACGAACAAACTTAATTCTACAGTTTAGACAAAATGGGGGTTATTTCATCAAAACAATTCATTTTACTGACTTTCGCTACTTCAAGCTTGTTAACATCCAACATCTTCTGTGCAGATGAATTAATGATGTCCAATCTTCACCGCAAAGGAAAACATGACAAATGTTCTGAGGTGAGCTTTTTAACTGTACCTAACCTGACTAGCAGTAACTATATACTTGCCCGGAGTCAAATGATTCTGTGAAGGGTAAGGAAGAGTCCGTCTGTGCTTTCTTTCCGACGGACTTGAGCGTTCCCATGACCGCGGATTGCAGTAACTGGATGTTTTAACAGCAGCACACAGCCCGGCCCCTTCGGTGGCGGTATCAGTACGGGGTATGACAGTTTGCCAGCACAAGGTGCATTAATAAGTTCCACTGGACTCAGCAGCACACAGTTGTAATAAATAGTTGCAGAAATAAGTTCAGCATACATTTCAGATGGGCATCTGAATTATCTTCAACTCAGACCAAAAAATATGACATTCGGATATCCTACTTAGCAAACAGAAGCTGGTAAGTTTGCGGTAAATCTAACTAAAATATTAATCCCCAGATGGTGGATATGCAACCTGTCTTTATTTTCTTCTTTGTGCTCTTAGATATTCTCCAAATTTGCTGAAATGAGATATATTACATTTTACATTCAGAAAACAATCGTTGAAATATCTTTATGTGGACAAACTTTCATTGTTAAACTAAATCTAATCACACAGTTGCTGCATTTTAAATGGTTTCTTTAAAGTTGGTATACTACTGAGGCAGTAACCCACAAACTAACTGGTGCTTCACTAAAAATTTAATTTATATAGTAATAAAAATACGATTCGTTTCTTGAGAAATCCTTTTAGACCAGAACTCTGAATAGGAGTCGATGAAAAGGAAATTAAACAGGGGACGTGCAGAAGGCAGCCAACTCATGTTTTCCTCCCATCAGTGTTTCTATCTCTCTCTCCCTCTCCCTTCCTCTCTCTCTAAAGTCAATAAAAACATATTTTTTTTAAAAAAGGAAAGAAAGAAATTCAGTGGCGCCTCCTCCACTGTAGCTCGGAGCCTGGCCAGCAGCTCTGTTTCGTGGACCCCACACTGTAGCCTCTGCAGAGGGGAGAAGGGGGTGTGGAGAGGAAGTGGGCGGTTTCTCTAAAATCAAAATACAAAACTATATGAAATGCTCCAGAAACAATGTGAATCAAAACCCGAAAGAGAAGAACTGCAATAAAATTAACTCTGGTCTCATTTCAATACCCCTTTATGTCCCTGCTGCTTGCTTGCACACATCGCTGTGTTCACTCTACATATTACTATTTTATAGTTGCCGTACAATAGTCCAGGGAGAAACTAGATTGCTTTCGGAAGCTTAATGCGAATTATTTATTAAATTATTCTGCACAGGAAAACACAAACTTTGTTTATAGCTTTAACAATTCTACAGATTAAAGTCTGGATTTAAGTTAATTTGGGGTTCAAATCTATTGCTTACAAGAATAATAAATCATTTTAGTGGCCATTTCTAATGATCGCATAGAGGAGACCTGACAAGGGGAGAGAAAAGAAGTCTCAATTTTGAAGAATTAAAGGACTAGGGTCCAAAACATTTCATGAAGATGAGCCCACCCGCAGTCCACAAAATGCCACATTCGGCAGCCAACTTGCCCTGGAGACTTGGGAGGCCCACGGAAGGAAGCACAGGAGCAGGGGCCAACCCGTCTCTGAGATTTGGGGAAAATATAGAGGAAGGCATCTCGAGACCTGTCCCTAACCTGCCCAAAGGTTTGGGGGAGCAATCGCCAAAGTGTCACTGCAGGCCCCCGGAAATCCAGAATCCCGATCAAAAACGCCCAAAGTAAACACCTGAAAACCCGTGACACTGTGTGGGCAGTTACATGCAGCTGGTCCAGAAACTTTAAAACGGTTTACATCTTCTCAAAAGAAGTTTCTAAGGAAGTTAAGATTCTTAGCGGGAAGAAGGCGAAGACACAGGGAAAAAACACCTGTTCACGGAGAACCGCAGAAGGTGGGTGTGAACGTGCCTGCGGTGTACACGATGAGCCGGCTTCTCCTGAGCCCCGCACGGGCCACCTCATTGCCCCACAGCCACACACTAGGTAGGAATGTGTGGTGACAGGATCGGGAATTTCAGCTTATGACCTTGTCCGACATTTGATCTCTCTGACACAACGAAAGGTCCCGCAAAGAGTTCTCTGCACGTACAAAGGACATCCGGTTCTCAAATTCAAAATTTCTTTTCTGGATCTCAACTTGTAAATAATTTCTGTTATTATGTCATTCTTTTTAGTAATTAATAAGTATTTATTGAGCATTTACTATGGGCCCACTCTCGGAGAGTGATTTTCTGGGAACCTCTCTGGCGTGGCTTTGGGCTGAGGGCCAGCAGGCCCCCTGCGGGCCTGCCTCCCATACATAGCTGGGGGGACCTGGGTGAGGTAGGGGTTGGTGGAGCTTCGACACCTCTTCTGAATCCTAAAGGGGAGTGTGGCCCCCTTGCCATCCATAATTGTCATGGCAATGCCAGGTATTTCTCGCCTCTGCGCCTCCAGATTTGGTCCCTAGTTACCAACTCTGAGCAGCAGAGAAAGAATTGTGCAACCTCCTGCTACATTAATAAATAAATAAATGGCCACTTGGTCCCTTGATACTATATGGCATAAGGAAATTTCTTACCAAATAACATGGGTTCTTTACCTAAACCCTTGCAATGTATGGAAAATGTTAGGTGAATAACCAGGTGTCAGCTGCCCCCTTACCTGCTTGGCTTACCCTGGTTAGCTCCTCCCAGCCTCTTCACCAGCTTCCACAAGAAATCCATGCACATGAGGGCTGTGCAGTGTCGCTGAGGATCTGTGGAATCTCGCCGAGGGGGTCACATTGCACAGCATGTCACTGAAAAAGTCTCAATTAGATAAGCCACTTCTCCCGTCTCTCTTTAACTGGACCACCAGCAAATCCCCTCCTCTTCTGACCTCCGCTGCTCACCCCAGGGTGGCTTCATGGGCTGCAACCCACACAGTCACACAGGGCCCCGGGTTTGGTTAAATACCCTGTTGTCACTGTCTTGAAATTCTTAATAACTTTGGACAAAAGGGCTGGTATTTTTATTTTGCACTGAACCCAATAAATTATGTAGCCACCAAACTTGACCCTACTGGCTCCTCCGCCCACACCGCCAACATCCAGTCTCTCTCCACATTTATTAATCAGAGTTTCCTACATAAGACTCAACGGCCTGTCATGCAGGCCCGGGAGGTCTGCTTACATCCTACAGTGAGTGTAAATATAACTGTATGACTTGTGAGATGTGATCAAAATGCAACTTTATTTTTGCATCCCACTATCCCCTTTCCAATGTAAGGGGCAGGGACAGGGTTGTGCAGAAATCTTCGCCTGGCCCTGGATGAAAGCTTGGACGGATGCCATGAACTTCATTGCTGCTCTTAAGTCATGTCAGTCCCTTGGCCTCTCTAAGTCAAAAGCACACGGTCTCAATTTCATTGTAATCAACAGTTCAATCTGTGCTCAGCCATTCATTCATTCATTCATTCATTCATTCATCCTCTACTGTTCCCAAACGAGGTCCAACAGACAGGGGTGTGGTCAAATTCCGTCTACTCCCTTCCAGCCTCCCCCGGTCCTCACTCTCTGCTTGCTTAGTTGGACTTCACTGGCATGGAAGAGAATGTGAGATGAGAGGCGAACAGATAGTATAGTTCTCCCAGAGTGGGCGGCTTCACTTCTGGGGCCCAGAGGATGGTACTGCCCGCCACTGTGGGCCCTCTCCCTCCAACTCTTCTGTTTCCCATGATACTTTTCAGTCCCCAGGCTGGCCTCAGCCCTCGCCCTGGAACACACGCCCGTTTCTCTTCTGGGGGTCCTCTGCAGCAGGACTCAGAACAGCTCCTGGTTCCCAAAACCTTGATCTGCTCCCCGACGGCTCACCCTCCGCACTGGAGCCCCCCAACCCTGCCTCCCCAGACACTCCAGCTCTCTGGCCTGGAGGCGGGCACCAGTCCTTTGTTCCTCTCAGCCACCTGGAGCACATCTCCCCTTCCGAAGGAAGCCCCTCCCTGGAGAAGGAGAAGGGACACAGTAATCACCCGACTCCTGGGCATGGGCAAGGGGCCTTCACAGCAAGGTAACACACTCTCCAAAACAAATCTCCTCATAAACCCAGATCCTATCCTTTAATAGTCTCCAAGTGGGTGAGGGAATTGAAAACTAGGAGAAGCACTTTTCAACCACTTCCTTAAAAAACCTGCCAATGGCCATTGGTTAGAGCATCACCCTGATATGCCAAGGTTGCAGGTTTGATCCCTGGTCAGGGCACAGACAAGAATCAACCCATGAATTCACCAGTAAGTGGAACAACAAATAGGTTTCTCACTTTCTCTTCCCTTCTTCCTCTCTCACTAAACCGAATCATTTTTTTTTTCCAAGTCTACAAATGGAGATCTTGCCTTAGGAATTTCATATCGATTAGATTTGGGTGTTAAAGATAAAACTTCACTTTTGACGCCCTTTGCAACAAAGATAAATCTCTCCTTATAAGGAATGCTTATAGCTGCTAAAAGTGACAGTTTCTCTGAATCGTTACATATACAGGTACAATTTTCCTGGGCAGTTTGGAGTTCTGGGGTTAATTTCTCACTGAGGCTTGTGATCCCATTATGTTCCAGAATTACTGCAACACAAGATATTTTGTTTCTAGAATTATTTTAAATTCTTATCTAATTCCATTTATAAATGAATAGTGTTATCTTACTGGCCATCAAAGTGCTATGAACATAATGCTGAAATAATCAGAACCACTCAAGTGGTTCGGCCCGACCCTCCTCCAAGCACCAGCTCTTTGCAGTAGTTCAGAACAGAAGTGATCTGGTGATCATGCGCTTCTCCTCAGCGTGCCTTCGGGTCCATCCTAAAACATCCTCCCTCCAACACTTCCCTTCGGGAAATTCCACCTGCATTGGCCCTGACCTAAAACCCAGGCAGCCTGTAAAAGTGAGGAGCGTGGGGGGGCCTTGGAGGAAGCTTGGGGATGACACATGTTATACGTCAACGGTTTCCATGGAAGGCAACTGCCACGTGATCTCAGGCCCACATTCCATACATCATACTATGACAGTGACCTTGAGAAATACAAAAAGGAAAAAAAGTGTACTGGCTCAGAGACCAATTTCTCAGTGAGAAAAATGAAAGGTCAGTGTTCATCTAAGTGTGACCAACAAAATGAAATGGGCAAGGAAAGTGAGGGCGCTTGGCCTCCACTTCGTGCGTGTGTGTGCATGTGTGCATGCGTGCGTGCGTGTGTTCGTACTTTTTAAAACATTTATCTTTATTGTTTAAAGTATTACAGATGCTCCCCCTTCCTCCCACCACTGACCCCTCCACCCCACTCCTGCTCCTCCCCAGGCCGGCACGCACGCACTGCCGTCTGAGTCCACGGGTTATGCATACATGCATATACATTCTTTGGTTAATCTCTTCCTGCCCCCTTCGCTCTGAGATTCCTCGGTCTGTTCCCTGCTTCCCTGACTCTGGATCTATTTTGTTGATCGGTTTATTTCGTTCACTGGATTCCACATGCAAGGGAACTGTTTCCCTAGAGATCTTCCTGCAGACGTTACATGACACTTCTCCTGTGGATCCTATCAACTACACGTTATTCCTACAAACACTTTCACATTTCTGTTCCTTTGTTCATTCCAGTTCCTTCATCTCAAAGCCATTTTTCTGTCAAAATCCTTCAAGACCCAGTTTAAATTTGGATGTAGCAGCATATAACAGAAAACCTAAATAGCATTGTTTTAACCAAGTAAGGTCGGTGGCCTCCTGCATGCACCCCAACTGGGGATTGAACCCACAATCTTTTGGTGTACGGGACAGTGCTCCAACCAAATGAGCACCTGGCCAGGGCTAACCAAGGAAGACTTTTTTTCTCACATAAAATGTCTGGAAGGAAGCAGTCCAGGGCTAATATGGAAATTCCAGTCATCACGGGTCCAGACTCCTGCCATTTTTCTCCCCCACTTTCCTAGCACATGGCTCCCACCAGGCCGTCATGTCCCTGTCCAGGCAGCAGAGACAAAGACAGGCCCAGGGGTGCTCTTTTCCCAAGGGCCCCTTTAAAATCACCATCCAACATCCTTCCTGTCATTGGCCACCCCACTCAGCAAGTGACGCTGGGAAACAGTTTCTCCGCCGGACACATTGCCCAAGCACTACTGCCATGGTCAAGGGAGCATGGGTATTGGATGGACAGCGAGACGGTCTGCCCAGCCTCTCTAAGCTCACTTCCCTATATAAAATATGACATATTTCAATTTTTTCATCCACTAGGCCAAGATCAACACTGCTGACATCTTAAATAATTCTTTGCTGTGGGTAGGCTGCCTTGTGCCCATAGGGTATTCAACAGCACCCATAGCCTCTACCACTAGATGGCAGTAGCACCACCCCACAAATGTGACAACTGGAAATGTCTGCAGACATTGCCAACTGCTTCCCGGGGTGCAAAATCACTCCCAACTAGGAACCGGCGTGCAAAATCACTCCCAACTAGGGCCCGGGGTGCAAAATCACTCCCAACTAGGGCCCGGGGTGCAAAATCACTCCCAACTAGGGCCCGGGGTGCAAAATCACTCCCAACTAGGGACCGGGGTGCAAAATCACTCCCAACTAGGGGCCGCGGCATTAGATGGCCCTACACTTGGTTTCCCCTCCCTCCCCGGCTTCATAAAAATAGTGACTATTTATTGTTATAACTGTGTCTGTTTTAACATGTAAAGCTGTTTTGGCCGTTTCTGTTCATGCTCATTTTTATCCGAGAACTGAGCTCAGGGAGAGCTCTCTGAAGAACTGGAGCGAACACGTGAGCTCAACAGGAGTCTGACTTCAAAGTCTGTGCTCCTCTCCTCACCCACTGTCCTGTCCACCACCACAGCCACCTCCCATCCAGCCCACTAAAGGCTGAAGCATCTAGGAAACAGTTGTTGAATTAAGGTTTAAAAAGAAAACAAGCGCCCTAGAGCCCAGGAATAAATCAATGTTCTATAACACTATATAGAGATTTTATAAAGAGGAAAGGCAGAAAAGAAAAGGGAAGGAGAGAAGGAGGGAGGGAGGGAGGACAAAGACCACAGACTCCTGGACAGCTTTTAAAAAGTATTTATTCACCTTAAGAGCAGGTAAGGAGGTGCCCTCCTTAGCATGACTATAAAGGGTAAACAGGTCACAGAATAAACACTGGACCACTACCATAATTTGAATTTCTATGTTTATTTCCTAAAATCATCTTGGAATTTTTTTCTTCCAGGACCTTGTCAGATACTCTGTTTTCTCACTGGGGTTTAAAAGAAACAATTTATGAAAATGAGCAGTGCTCAGTGTAAAACAACTAGCCTGGACCACTTTTATCTTGGACTCTAAAGGAACAATCAATGCTTTTTTCCACCTGGAGCAGACAAAGTGCTCTTGTTGATGATGAAACTCAGCTATCAGTTTCTGCTTCAGTGGAGACCTGAACTGGTGGAGAGTCACTGAAATATGGAGTCACTGAAATATGGAGTCCCCGGCAAGTGGAGGCGCCGGGGATCAACTTTCGCAAGGACAGGTCTTTCACTCTCTGGGTTATTTCCAGTCTCTTACACACCTCATTGGTGCATTAGGACAAAGAAGTAAAGGAATTAAAATAAATCAGAATACAATTCATGTGGGAGTATTCCAGTATTTCAGCCTTCTCCCTCCTCTCCCCCACATTGAGATTTGTTACCAACTGCTCTGTGGAAATATCATCACTTTGCTTCATAGAGTCAGGCTTGAATTAGGAAAATATGTGATGGACGTGTGTCCCTCTTTATTATATCCAGTGTTTATTTTAACTTACTATTTATGAAGTGGCCCTGAGTTCCTAAGATGTTTATTAGGTATTGAACATTTTATTCATTACTATTAGAAATAATAAAAAATTGGGCAGCTTTCACTTGGCTTATTTTTATGTATTTCTTTTTTACTGTGGCAAAATATACATAACAAAATGTACCACTCTAACCATCTTTAATGTACAATTCAGTGGCATTAAGTGCATTTTACTTCCCTTTGCACGTAGTCTATTCTCTAGTTATACTCACACTATTATACCTAAATAACCATATCAAAAGCTTTAGTGTTATTTCACCTACCATAAAATTCCTATGACAACAATAAGGTTGATGCTTTTTTTAATAGAATTTATTGGGGTGACACTGGTTTGCAAAATCATACAGGTTTCAAGTGTACAACTGAATAAAACATTATCTGTACACAGTATTGTGCACCCATTGCCCAAAGTAGTCTTCTTCCATCCCCTTTGCCCACCTTTGCCCACCTCCACCTACCCTTCCCACCCCTCTGGTTATCACCACTCTGTGGTCTGTGTTTCTGTGTTATATACATATGTTTTTTGGTTAATCCCTTCACCGTCTTTCATCCAGTCCCCTAATCCCTCTCCCCTCTGGCAGCTGTCAGTCTGTTCCATGTATCCATGCATCTGTTTCTATTTTGTTCATTAGATTCCACATATAAGTGAGATCATATGGTATTTGTCTTTCTCTGACTGGCTTATTTCACATAGCATAATGCTCTCCAGGTCCAAGGATGATGCTTTTAGAGATGCCCTGACTCTGACAGACTCAGATGTTAGTAGGAGAGTCACATTTCCACCAGAACGCTCTATTTTCCCTATATTCCCTTTAAGCTTATGTTGAATGGGGTAATTATTGCTCATCTTTGTATCTCCTGAACTATTGTATCATTTCACTTGGGGCCAGAGCTAATGGTTCTCCAGCAATACGTGGAACAGTCGGGTGTGCGGAGGTATGTGTTTCATAACCGAAATGAACATGAAGAGTTAGGTTAGCTCATTTTCCTGAGAATTAAAGGATGGTCAACAGTGATTCATAAGCTATTTTACAGCACATTTCTTTGAACTTCAGGGCTCTGTCACATTGTTCCTAATAGCCTGTTTTTCTCCTATATCATTGGGTTTTCCTCTCATATTACACCCATGTGATACATTTATTCCCATGTGTAGCTTAGGAAATGGGAAGTATTATTGCCCATTATCTCTCCCTAAATATAGAAACTAACATATGAAAGGAGTCAACCAGGAAAATCACAATTAGAATCAGGAGTGAAATTAAATTATAATGAGATTAATGTCGAATTAATAGTCTTTGTAAAAGTAGAGAAATAGTATTTAATCCTGAAGAAAAATTATCTCAAAATGTATTTTACTTCTTGCCAGATTTCCAGGCATTAGTATATTATGGTTAATAAAACATAAAACTATTGTGTCTCTTTCTCAAAATATGCAACAATACTAATTAGCTACAGCAATGCACCTACATAATTTTCAAACCGCTTGTAAAATAACATGTAGCTTTCCCCTTATAATAAAAAGCACTGAAATGTAATCAATATTGCAATATTGCTTTTTACCACCAGAGGGCAGAAAATGCTCCACATTGAATGTACTTAACTAGTTTTAAATTCTTTGACCAAAACAATAACCACCAGCACCACAAAAAGTCTCTAAGATCCGCTGATTGTATTCTGTACAATACACTGTAAATTAAGGCTCAGTTAACAACTTTAAAATTTTAAATGAATGCACAATCACCTAAATTCAACAGTTCATAGAAGGTAAAAGTAAACATCATTTTTGCATCCTGAGGCATCAGGGACTCAGGACATCCTACAGGAAAGGTAGAGTACTTAAACAAGCCAACACACACTGCAATTGAGAATCAGCAATATGTTTTCTGTGTTAAAATATCTACAATGAGCCCTGGCCAGTTTGGCTCAGCGGTAGAGCATTGGCCTACCAACCAATGAGTCCTGGGTTTGATTCCAGTCAAGGGCACGTACCTCCGTTGCGGTTCATCCCCGGCCCTGGTTGGGGTCGTGAAGGAGGCAAACAGTTGATGTGTCCCTCTCATGCCAATGTTTCTCTCTCTCCCTGTGTTTCCCTCTCTCTCTACCTGAAGATAAATGGAAAAGAACCCTCGGCTGAGGATTAAAAAAAAAAAAAATATATATATATATATATATATATATATATATATATATACACACACACACACAATTAAATGCAAAGGTTGTATTTATTACAAAATTGAAATAGCTACTGAAATTACAAAGTAATATTAACATTTGACTCTTTAATTTCCATGGGGACCTTCTTTTACCACAAACCAACTGTAGATCTAACTGTGGGCAAGGATGTTTTCAGTTTCCTCTTAATATATCTTTTTGACCTAATTAACTTGTTTCTCTCCCAATTAAGCCATTTACATTTCAGTAGCTAAAGCATTACTTTGTTTGATTAGAAACCACAACCTCTTCACTTTTTCACTCTCATTAATTAAAACACATCATGATAAATTAAGCCATTTGGATTTCAGTCTGGATGGGTGACATTTTAACAACTGCCCCTTCACCCTCCTCTCTGTCAATCTGGGCCACGTCCTACATCACAGGACAGCAAGAGGGCAGTGGTGGCCGTCTGCGAAGGGAATGGAGCCAGGGTCACACATCACCCAAGTCAGCGCTCTCCCTGGTGCATGAGCCTCTCACTTGCCAATCAAACCTTTACCTAATAGGGTTGTGCACGACCATACACAAGATACTAAATCATTTCTGAAGTCTTGTTTCTTACCCTAAACGAATCTGCTTCCCCACTTGCAGGTCTATGGACCCTATTCACGCCGATACTAACAGACACAGCACAGTGGGACAGAAAAGCTGGGGACCGAGCCACGCAGCAGTGTCACTTCTTTCGGACTCTTGAAAGCAAAGCGCTTTCAGACTCAGGGCTAGTCATCAAAGAGATGTATGACTGCCTGTTGGTGGAACTGGCAAGTTTGAAAGAAACTGGTAACAATTACAGCTGCCCTGGCCTAGATCTAGCATGAGCCAGAGAAAGGTGCTGGAGCAAAGAGGGGATGGCTGCACATGGAGAACACCAGAGAGGGCATTCCTGCGCGGACTGTGGAGCTGCACCGATTGACCTCCAAAACCGTATCAGTCTTCTCTGAAGATGAATTGATGTTGGAAGGAAATACATGCACCAAGTTTAAAACGTCAAAAGAATTCTACGGGGCTTATAATTAGGGTCACTGCGTCCAGTTTCCCGGGAACGTTTCTGAGTTGTGCGTATTATCCCAGTATAATTTTAATAGTGCCCCTTCACCCTTCAGAGTGTCCCAGTTGGATGAAAAATACTGCCTCGAGCCCAACCTCATCCACCCCTTTTTATTCCCCAGAACAAGCTCCTCTGGATTCATTTAGAATTTTTCTATATGGCTTCAAAATTCTAAAACAAACAACAAATGATTAAACCACTTGCGTCAGTTAACACTGCCTTTGAATCAGGGGGAGGGAAGCACTGACTGACCCAAATAGAAAGAGGTGCCTGGAAGGTACACTGTTTGAAGACTTGTTCATCTAAAAACGACTTTTTCTCCATCACACTTTGTTGGGACTTCATATCCATCCAAATTCTCAACCAAGTGTTAGGATCCCAAATCAACAGTGCCGGGGCAGGAAAAGTAGGGTCACTGGGTCACTGCTGGGACACACTACCTGCTGAAGGCCAGGAGGTCCGGGGTCACAGGACCTGGGAGTCACGTGACCGGGAAAGGGCCAGGGACAAGCCGCAACCACCAGTCAAATAACTCCCCTCTTTGTTCCTCGACCCCACCCCCCTATGAAACTTCCCTGGGCAGCCACTCCCCTGGCCCGCTCCACCGGGACCAGCGAACCTCGCCCTGGAAGCTTCAACAAAACGTTTGCCCGCTTTTGCGGCTCCGTGTCTCCCTTCCTGGGAGAGGCCTTCCGCCTGCATCTCGCTTCAGAGTCCGATGTGGAGCTGTCCGCTGCGAATGTCTTACTCTGAACCTTCTCACAGGCAAGGATATGTAGAAGAAACATAGTATATGTGGGGTTCAGTACTGTCTACAGCTTCGGGTATCTGCTAGGGGTCTGGGAACATATCCCCCAAGGACAAGGGGGAACCACTGTGATTTAACATATACTATGTAGATGCTATGATACAATTATAAGTCTGTGTGTGTGTGAATGTAATTTTATTTTATTTATTTTTTAATCCTCACTGGAGGACATTTTTCCATTTCCTGTTCAGATAGAGTGGGAGGGAGGGAGGGAGGGAGAGAGAGAGAGAGAAACATCGATGTGAAAGGGACACATCGAGTGGCTGCCACCTGCACGACCAACCAGGGCCGGGGACAAACTACAACCGAGGTTCGCGCCCTTAGCGGGAACCAAACCCGGGTCTCTCTGGACCGCAGGCCAACGCTCTAACCGCTGAGCCAAACCAGCCAGGGCTGTGAACATAATTATAAATCCTACACAACCCTCTGAGGTAAATATCCTCATCTGACATATGAGAAAAATAATCTAGGTTTATAATAAATAATAAATAAAAATGTTATTATTATTATTATAAATAAGCTGGAGATCAAAGCTATGCTTTTATCCTCTCTACCCTGAATTTCCTTTCTTCTCTGTGGAAAGCTGAATGTCCGCTCTTTCGCTCCCTCTTAGTGAAGGGTCTCGGTATTACTGCACTGCCGTTGCAGTACCTACTGGATTATACGATTAGCTCCCTTTCTCATGTGGTAGTCCCCCCCATCCTTGGGGGATACATTCCCTACCCCCAGTAGATATCTGAAACTGTGGACAGTACTGAACCCTACATGCACTATATTTTTTCCTCTATAGATACATGCGTATGATAAAGTTTCATTTATAAATTAGGCACAGTAAGAAGTTAACAACAATAATAAAGTAGCACAATTACAGCAATACACTGTAATAAAAATTATATGAATGTGATGTGTCTCTGATAACCAATCCAATAAACAAAATGGCAGCTCAGTGACTAATCGGGCGGTTGGCATGTACAGCGTGGACGCACTAGACACAGGGGTGACTCAGGTCTTAGGCAGGACTAACAGCTTGAGATTTTAGCATGCTACTAAGAATGGCATGTTATTTTTTTAAATGTTTTTGTTTATCGATTTTAGAGAGAGAGGAAGGGAGAGGCAGAGAGAGATAGAAACATCGATGAGAGAGAACATAGATTGGCCGCCTCCTGCATGCCCCCCACTGGGGATTGGGCCCACAACCTGGGCATGTGCTCTGACCGGGAATCAAACCGGCGACCTCTTGGTGCATGGGTCAGTGCTCAACCACTAAGCCACACCTGCTGGGCATGGCATATAATTTTAAACTAATGAATTATTTATTTCTGGAATTTCCCATTTAATATTTTCAGACTGCTACTGAATGAAACCACAGATAAGGGGGACTACTGTATCATTATAGTACTAGTAAGGTTTGTGAGTTATCAATATATTGGCTGTTAGCTCCAAATCCACTCTTCTTTGCCTTGCTCTGTGATATTGGAGTCGGACCCTGTAAACATTCCTCCTTAGTTAGATGGCAGGATTTAAGGTTTCTCAACAGAGAGCACTGAATGCCAGCGCAAGGCAATGATGACAGGAAGACATTTACGCTTCAGGTAGTGGTCCTCTGTTATTATTCAAGACAGGAGCCCAGCAGCTACACAGAAGACTTCTGGCTGTGTCCTCAGATGGCTCTCTCTCCACCAACAGCCACATCTGCCCCACACCCTCCAGCAATGACAAGCCACTTCTACAGGGAGTCTCCAACAATAGCAGACTACTCCGAGAGAGAGTGTCAACCCACATGTCACCTTTCTACAGGATCTCTCCAGCAAGGTAGTTACTTACTTCATGGTGGTTCAGAGCTCCCAAAAGCAAGTGTCCCAACAAGGAGAAAGTAGAAGTCACCTTAAAGACTAGGTCTAGAATTAGCACAGCGTCACTTCGCTGCATTCAAGTAGTTGACATGAGTCACAGAGCAGCCCACGCACATGTGGGTGGGAACTACACATGAGCATTAACAGTGGGAGCTATGGTTCCTTGGGGGCCATCTTTGGAGTCTAGTCCACCAGAAGCCGGAAAGAAAATACACAGCATTACTACAGTCTTCATTTCTATAATTCCTGAGGCTTGAAGTGATATTCATAACTTTCTTATTCTACCATATCTTCCATGTTTTCTTTGCCCTCAGACAGCACCAGGTAAAGGGTTTTGTTTTATTTTTTTTAACCTATATTTTTTTAATCTCCATTCCTCAGGAATCTGAATCCTCAGTGGTGCTGCCTTTATTGGGCTTGCTATAGTTTTCCATTGACTTTTATTATTGAGCATGAACACACTAAAAGGCACTCTAGAAAGTCCCAGAGAATTTCAGGCATGTTCTCTGTCCCCTCGGTATAGCAGCAATTCACTCCCCCTTACTTACTGGGATCAATTATTCCAGCCAGTATAGGAAACCCCTTCTTTGCCTTTTGGTTCAGTGCATTTTTTATACATTTTATTTTAAAGATTTTTAAATTGATTTTTAGAGGCAGAGAGAGGAAGAGGAAGAGATGTCAGTGTGAGAGTGTAACATCAATCAGCAGCCTCCTGCACGCCCTCTACCAGGGATGAAGCTTGCAACCCAGGCATTGCCCTAACCAGCAACTGAATTGCCAACCTTTCAATGCACATGACAACGCCCAACTGAGTCACACCGGCCAGGGCTCTGTTCAGTGCACTGAAGGTAAGAAGCTACTCTTCTATATTATACTGTATTCACCTACACGATAAAGCTGTTGAGCTCAAAAGAGGTAAGTATGGAGTGTAGAATGGGCAACTCTATGTAAATAAGTAGTTATTCTTTTCTACTGTAAAAAAGCCCTCTCCTTCCCCAGAGCATATATTTCAAACCTTCCCTGCTCATATCCTCCACCCTATCACCTCTCCTCACTCTCAACAAACGATCTCAGCTTTTATAACCTTTCTCAATGTCCCACTCCAACCTTCTCCTACAGTTTAGAAATGAATTTGCATTTCTAAATCCTTATCCCTTTGGAATGACATAAATGCAGACAGTTATAAAATGTGCTTATTCTCATTTACTAAATAATTCCTAATTGCCTAGAATGTGTCAGGGAACATTCCCCATCATAATAAAGGCCATATATGACAAACCCACAGTTACCATTAATCATTGTCCTTAAAAACAATAACAAGACAGCATTGTCCACTTTCACCACTTTTATTCAATATAGTATTGGAAGTCCTAGCCATAGAAATCAGACAAGAAAAATAAAATAAAACATATCCAAATTGGAAAGAAGTAAAACTGTCATTATTTACAAATGACATGATACTTTATATAGAGAATGCTAAAGATTCCACCAAAAAAACTACTAAGACTGATAAATGAATTCAGTAAAGTAACAGAATACAAAATTAATATTCAGAAATCTATTTTAGTTTATACACCAACAATGAACTATCAGAAAGAGAAGTTTAAAAAACAATCCCATTTACAATTACATCAAAAAACCTAGGAATAAATTTAACCAAAGAAGTAAAAGACCTGTAGTCAAAAAATTATAAGATCTTGCCCTGGCCGGTTTGGCTCAGCGGTTAGAGCGTCGGCCTGCGGTCCAGAGAGACCCGGGTTCGGTTCCCGCTAAGGGCACGTACTTCGGTTGCAGTTTGTCCCCGGCCCTGGTTGGTCGTGCGGGTGGCAGCCACTCGATGTGTCCCTTCACGTCGATGTTTCTCTCTCTCCCTTCCTCTCTCTCCCTCCCACTCTATCTGTACAAAAAATGGAAAAATGTCCTCGGGTGAGGATAAAAAAAAAAAAAAAAATTATAAGATCTTGGAGAAAGAAATTGAAAAAGATACAAATAAATGGAAGCATATACCATGCTTATAGATAGGAAGAATTAACATCATTAAAATGTCCATACTATCTAGAGCAATCTATAGATTTAATGCAATCCCTATCGATAGGGATTATAAATACCAATGGCATTTTTTCACAGAACTAGGCCAAATAATCCTAAAACTTATATGAAACCACAAAAGACCACAAATAGTCACAGCAATGTTGAGAAAGAAGAACAAAGTTGAAGGTATCATGCTACCTGATAACAAACTATACTACCAGTCTACAGTAATCAAAACAACATGGTACTGGCATAAAAATAGACACAGAGATCAATGAAATGGAATAGCAGAATCCAGAAATAAACCCACATCTATATAGTCAATCAATGTATGACAAAGGAGGTAACAACATACAATGGAGGAAAAGACTGTTCAATAAACAGTGCTGGGAAAATGGAACAGATACATGCAAAAAATTATACTAGACCACCTTCTTACACCACATACAAAAATAAACTCAAAATGGATTCAAGACTTAAAGGTAAAACTCAAAAACACAAAAGTTCTAGAAGAAAACACAGGCAGTAAACTCTCTGACATTTCTCTTGGTAATGTTTTTTCTGATATATCTCCCTAGGCAAGGGAAACAAAGAAAAAATAAGACTACATCAAACTAAAAACTTTTTTGCACAGCAAAGGAAACCATAAAAAAAATAAAATGAAAAGACAACCTACTGAATGGGAGAAGATATTTGCCAATAATACATCTGATAAGGGGTTAATATCCAAAATTTATAAAGAACTCATACAACTCAACATCAAAGAAAATAAACAATCCAATTTAAAAATGGGCAGAGGGCCCCACCAGTGTAGCTCAGTTGGTTGAGTGTCATCCCACGCACCAGGAGATCGCTGGTTTGATTCCAGTCAGGGCACATGCCCAGGTTTTGAGCTCTACCCCCAGTAGGAGGTACGCAGGAAGCATCCAATTGATGTTTCTCTCTCATCGATGTTTCTGTCTCTCTCTACCTCTCCCTTCCTCCGTGTGAAATCAATAACACACACACACACACACACATATATATATAAATGGGCAGAGGACCTGGCTCTTCTCCAGAGAGGACATACAGATGGCCACTGGACATATGAAAAGATGTTCAAAATCACTATCATCAGAGCAATGCAAATTAATACCTCAGTGAGATATTACTTCATGCCTGTCATAAAGGCTGCCATCAATAAACCAACAAACGGAAAGTGTTGGTGAGCACGTGGAGAAGACAGAACCCTTGCTCGCTGTTGGTGGCACTACAAACCAAAGTAGCCACTACAGAGAACAATATGGAGGTTCTTCAAAAAATTAAAAATAGAATTACCGATGGCCCAGTAATTCCACTTCGGGGTGTATATTTGAAGAAATTCAAAACTCTAATTTGAAAAGATATATGCACCCCTATGTTTACTGCAGCATTATTTATAAGAGCCAAGATATGGAAACAACCTAAGTGCCTATCAATAAATGAGTAGAAAATAAAGAAATGTTACAATTAGCCATAAAAAAGAAAGAAATCTTATCATTTGGGACAACCTAGAGGGAATTATGTGAAATAAGTCAGACAGAGAGAGACAAATACCATATTTCATTGACAGGTGGAATCTAAAACACAAAACAAACAAAACAGAAACAGACTCACAGATACAGGGAACAAACTGAGGGTTGCCAGATGGGCGTGAGGGTGGAAGGCTGGGTGAAAAGAGTGAAAGAACTAAGATGCACAAATCGGCAGTTACGAAATAGTCAAGGGGATGTAAAATACAGTGTAGGGAATATAGTCAACAATAAGTGTAATAACTATGAATGGTACCAGGTGGATACCAGACTTATCTGGGGGGTCACTTGGTAAAGTATATTATTGTCTGACCACTATTCTGTACACTTGAAAGTAATATAAAATAATACTGAACATCAACGGTCAGTGAAAAAAATAGCTGCATGCACATGGTAGGCACAGTGCACGTACGCACATCATGTTCCAACTGCAGAAAATCAAACACGGAAAATCTTGAAAGAAGCCAGAGGAAGAAAGAAGCCTCACCTACAGAGGAGCAAGGCGAAGAATTACATTGGATTTCTGTCCAGAAGCCATGCAGGCAAAAAGAGAGTGGGGTGAAATATCTATAGTGTTGGAAGAAAAAACCAACGTAGAAAACTGTATTCTGCACAGTTATCCTTCCCAAAAGATTAGAAAACAAATACTTTCTCCAACAAACAAAATTTAAGAAAACTGCACATCACTAGACGTGTCTTGCAAGAATTTTAAAAATATTTCTTCAGAGGGAAGGAAAGTGATAGAGGTTGAGAAGTTGTTTTTCCATTTCTAAGCAGTGCATTAAATCTATATGAAAAAGGAAGAGCATTAATAAAGGCATAAATTAAGGTCAAATAAAATATTTTATTTTACTTATTCTTAATTGATCCACAGACAACAATTTGCTTAAAGTAATAATAGCAGGATTGTATTGTGTGATTAGAACTTGTGAATAGTGATACGAACGATAGCAGTGTTAGATGAGATGGAAAGGTGAAATTGGGCACACTCTGTGATAAGGAGTTTGTACAACCCATCAAATAGTATGTTATTTGAAAGTGGGCCTGAATAAGTTGTAAGTGTATTGCAAACTCAAGGGTTGCCATCTCTCGGCCTGCCGGGATCAGTGCAACGCAATGAAACTACAAGCACACGCTGCTTGGAGTGAGGGGGAGCTTTGCAAGGTGGCAAATGCTCCAGATCTCTGGACGCAGTCCCATTTACAGTGATACCTCGGTTCTCGAACATAATTCGTTCCAGGAGGACGGTCGAGAACCGAATTGTTCGAGAACCGAAGCAATGAAACCCAATAGGAAAGCGTGACTCCACAAAGCGTGACTCTCTCTGCACTCACACTGATGACGCAAGCAAGGGCGCTGGGCCGAATGAACGCCATTCGGCTCAACTCGGCTCATCTCGGAAGTTCGAGTTCCAAATATTTGTTCGGATTCCGAGACAAAAGTTTCTCGAATCTCCATTTGGTCGAAAACCGAGGCGTTCGAGAACCGAGGTATCACTGTATTTACAGATTGGTACCCCCAGGTCACAAGTGGATTCAAGTAAATTATTTTCTTGAGATGGCATTACTGCATACACCCTAGCTTTTTCTCTTGCTTTTTATGGGAAGAGACCTTGAAGCCAAAAGATAACAAGCCCGTATTCACATGCAAATGAAGCTCCCAATACACCTGGGCAGGCCAGGTTTCCCCCAGGCTAGGATTCCGAGAATGCATTAACACAAGTTGAGAGTGCTTAACATGAGGTTAAAAAACATCCATCTTCCAACCCTCCAACCCCACAAAGGGTAACTACTTAAAAATTTGAAAGGTTATAACTAATATGTTAAGAGAGAAGACAAAACAGAATCAAATAAGATGCTCAACTAAAACCAGAGAAGGCAAAAGAGGAAGACACACACACACACACACACACACAGAAACAAAAGACAATGAACAGAAAACAGTAACAAATAAGAGAGATATTATCCAAATATATCAAAATCACTTTAAATATCAAAGTTCTAAATGTATAAATTAAAGGACAGAGATTGTCATAAAGAAAAAAAAATACCCAAGTGTATATTGTGTACAGCAAACCTATTTTAAAGACATAATCATTTGAAAACGAAAAGGATGGAGAAAGATATACCATGCTAACACTAACTGAAAGAAAGTAAGAGTGGCTGTATTAGTTTCAAGCAAAGCAGCCTTCAGAACAAGGAAAGTCATCAGTAGTTTCCAGAGGTTCAAGAGGAGAGAAGGAGGGATGACTAGGTGGAACACAGGGAATTTGGGGACTGTACACTATTCTGTATGATACTGTAATGTGAATATATGACATCATGTTGTTGTCAAAGCTCACAGAACTACAAAACACAAAGAATGAGCCCTAATGTAAACTGTGGATTCAGTTGATACTAATGTAACAATATTCGTTTCTGTAACCAATGCACCCGAATGCAAAGGTGTTAATAATAGTAAGGAACACTTTATGAGGAAGGAAAAGGCATATATGTACTGTGTACTGCAGACTGCAATTAGCCCTCTCCACCTGCCCCAGTGCCTGTATACATGAGATCACTTTCTATTTCAGGGTACAGTTATGGAAAACAGTTGTCTCCTGCTGGACTCCCCTCCCCCTGCCCAACTGATCTGCTCTGGTTGCTAGGAGTCTGTTTACCTTTGAGATGGAACACTCTGTAGGGTTCTGAGTGGTCAGTTGCGGCCCAGCGGACACTGGCACTCGGAGGCAGAGCTGAGAGAGCCCGACCAGTCGTGGAGGGCCTGCTGCCTGCCACGCTTCACCTTCCAGCTGGTCCTGGGGCACCTGTTCTGTGTTCTGCTGTGGGTTCTGGAAGCTGGAGACACTCCCACATCTCCCTGCATCTCCCTGGAAGATCCTGGTTTGTGCTGTGGTGGTGGTTTGACAGCAAGGAGAAGACACACTTGAAGAACTGTGAAGGCACCAGGCAAAACGTGTGCTGCCTGCGAAGAAGTCTGTGAAAGACAGAGGGAGAATATTGGACCAATGACACAAGTCAATGACTCTCAGGCCCCCTGGGGTGGAGGCCAGGTCTCCCATGTTACAAATCTCGCGATTGTTGGACTGAAGACACGCCCGCGCAGGTTATCACCTCAGGTATCGTGGACTCTCTGGAAAAGGCGTGGAAGAGCCAGCCTCCTCAACTTTCCCAGCTGGCTGATGGAAAACCCATCTCAAAAGCACCAGACACCAACTGACAACAACTTCAGAGAAAAATGATTTCAATGAGAACATTCGTTTTCCAGAAATTTCACAACTGATCCACAAAGAAATTATGAGATGAGGTAGAGAGAGCAAGAAAAGGAGGAGAAACAAAGGTTGGAGCCATCAAACATACGAATGGAGAAAATCAGCCATTTAATATCAGTGGCTAAAACCCTGCTGTAGACCAGGCTTCTGCCTGCTTTCCTTGGAGATCACTTAGCTCACATGAAGTGGCAGATCACACAGGACAGGGGAACAGAAAACAGGGATCTCCCCGTCCTTTGGTCACAGTTGGTCTGAAGGGCATGCCTGATGATGCCAGCCTCAATGTTTTTCTTCCAGGTCCGGAAGAGGAACATCACAAAATAGCCAGACAAGTGTGGGAAGAAAAGTAAATGAAAAGCTTATAGCACAGATAACCATTCTCCAAATTGAAGAAGCATCTTGGCAGCATGAAAATTCAAACCTAGAAAGTGAGATTCAGCAGCTGACACTGAACTTGCAAATTCTGACTGAACTACAGGAAGATTACTTAAGGCAACTGGAGGGGAAAAAAAAACTGTTTAAGGAGGAAACGCGCTGCTTAGAAATGGAAAAACAACTTCTCAACGTGTCTAGGTACAGGAACTCCACAAATCCGATTTGCAACCTGTACAAGAAGATGGCAGAAGACATGGGCAAGGAATTGGAGAGAAGCACTTCTTTCTACAGAAATGAGACCCCCTTCTGTGCAAAAATGGCACACAAAAAAAACCTGGAACACAGCCATGTTGACCGAGAGAACGCTCAAGGAGTTAAGGAAAGAAAATGATTGCAGGAGGCAAATGCTGGCCAAGATAGAGTCCAAGTTCCAGCCTTTCCTGGGTGGCCCTTTTGCTCCACAGAAGTGGCCCAGAAGTGTCAGGGGATCCCCTGGGTCATCAGGCCACCCAGGACGGAGGAGGGTCACACAGTAAGAGCTCAAGAATCCAGGGTCACCTGCAGGTTTGACTCAGTTTCCACAGCAGCTGGGTCCTGAACACCCCCAATCACAGCAGGACATCTGCATTGTTTTCTCTTCAAAGTAAGTTTGATTTATCTCTTTCTAGTTTAGCTACTGTTATTTAATTGATGCTATAATTCCTCTTATTCAACTAGATATAGCATTATATTTTTAAGTTAGTATTTTTCAATAAAGATTCATGTAAAAATCCTATTGCAAAATGTCATGCATAATAGGGTAATTTACAAGTGAAACTTGGGCATGAGAGTACATGTGTTGCCGACATTTGTCACCCACCTGCTCTAAATCTGGGACCCTTGCCATTTAAACTCCAGGCAGCAGGGAAGCAGGTGGGAAAGCATGGGGGACACACGTCCTGGAACCCAAGGGCTTTGAGAAATTGGATTATTTGTTTTGGGAATCTTTCAGACCCCTGCATCATCACTTTTTTTTGTTCTACTGAGCTGTTCCCATTAGCAAACAAACATGTTAAGATATCTCCTTTTTTTTTTTTTTTTAAGTCCTCCCTTGACCCCACACCAGCTCCTTTCTGCCTGGTTTCTCTGCTTCCATTCACAGAAAAATTCAAGAGTTGACTGTATTCACTATCTCTACTTCCTCCCCTCCCTTTTTCATTCCAATCAGAGTTAGGGTTAGGGTGGGGTATGGAAAGTACTGGCAAGCCGGATAGTTGAAATGGGCTAGGCTGACAGGGTATTTAATAGAAGGGAATTTAATGAGAGATCTTAAAACAACAGGAGCAGCAAAAAGGTTAGGGTAGACGACAAATTGAAATAGATATAAATAGATATAAATATAAATATATATATATATATATATATATATATATATATATATATATATATATATATATAAAGGGGTCAAAGATAAAGACAACGTTATGTAATTCACAGCTCTGTCTCCAGCAGGATCTACTCTTCAAGGCCTAGTGGGTGATAAATAACTACAGGGGTCGGGAGAGGCTCGGGGACTGTTACATCTCCCTTCTCAGGGGTGGGGGTCATTCTCATCCCCCTTCTATGTCCCTACAAGCTGTTCTAGCCTCTCCCTAAAGGTAACCTTCCCTCGGCCCTGTCCTTCTCAGGGGCCGCTTCTCAGCCATCACAGAAACTCAGGGCCCTGTAGGTGCAGAAACGTGGTTCAGTGCGTTTCTTGGAGGCAGGAAACAGTAATCGAGGTGAGGCTAGTCCTTGAGGGCTGGGGAGGTCAGCTTCAGGCGTACCTGCGCCTTTCCTCCCGGGCTCTGCTAGGGCGCAATCCCAGGGGCTGCCCTTGCGGGGTCCTGTGGAAGGCACCCTCGATCTGGCCGCACGGTCCCCCGCTCCAGCGAGGGGAGAGAAGGGACTGGTCGCACGCTCCTCACCAGGGTTTCTTCCACCCTGGCCCTGCGCTCTACCTCCGTCCAGCCCCCACGGAAGAACGCCCGGGCGCGGAGACACCGCTGGAACGGGCAGCTCTCCGAGGAAAAAGGAGCTGCAGCCGCCAGAGGGCGCCCGCGGCGGGGCGAGAACCGGGGGCGGGGCCAGAACCAGGGGGAGAGGCGGGGCCCGGACCGAGAGCTTGGGGCGGTTGATAAGCCTATTTCGCCACCGGACTAGACGTCTGGTCGTCTCCTCACTTCCGGTTCCGCTTCCGATTCTTCCAGGCCCCGGAGCTCCTGAGCTGGCTGCCTGCGAAACCTCCGCGAGCCGCCCGCGGCCCGGCAAGAATGCGTTACCTAGTGCCATGGTCACGGTCGCCGTCACAGGCACCCTCAACCCCACCCTGGCCCACTCCCAGCCCTCCCCGCACCCGCCCCTGCCCGCTAGCTCCCCGGGGCCGCAGGTGCGGACCACAGCGGAATTCCACTCCCCGCGATAGCCCGCCAGCTCTGGGGAGCGAAGGGGAGGCGCGGGCCGGTGCCGCTCCCGGGCTGATGTCCCAGGTGCGTCCGAACCCCGAACCCCGAGGCGGCGCCCCGCAGGGCCCGGGCCCGCGGTCCTGGCCTTGGCGCCTGCTTGGCGTCCCCCTCCAAGTCCGAGGGAGGGCTAGGATTCTCTCACTTTGGGGTCCCGCTCATGCTTCACCCCTGATTATCCACCTGTCTACAAAGGACTTGCTTCGTTCAGGATACCCGAAGTCTTTTAGAAGCATGGCTGCTGATTGTATTGGATATTGAGTCTCTGCTTTTTAGAAAGGCCATGGGGGCGAGGCTGATCAGCTAAGTTTTCCTGAATAGTTATGGTTAAATTTGAGGCAAGACTTTAATTTCAGTCCATGACCCAAAATAGAGGCCATGTATGGACGGACCTACAGGTCATCCACTTAGTGTCTAGACTACTTAGGAACATCTTCCACTGTGTGGATTTGTTTCCGTTGAAATTCATTTCCATAGAATTTCAGTTGCTATTTATTATTGATGTGATATCTGAGGGTCCACAGAGGGACTCCGGGAGAGGAAGGAAGTTATGATTTCTCTGCAGCGTTGAGCGGAACAATTTGGCAGCACAAAGCAAGTTTCCTGCCTGCCATGAGGGAGGGTCAGTGTCATAGTGACCAAGTCAGTCCACTCCCAAGTCAAGTGTGCCCTCCCTTTCTTTTCCAGATTGTGCCTTTTTAGCCAAGAAGCATGGCCGTAATCCACCACAGCCCCTACTGTTGCAGGGAGCTTGAAGGCGCTGACATACTGTCAGACACATATTACTCTAACGAACTGCACACTCCGTTGCAAACAGCTACTCGCCCAACTGCCTCAGCGGACAGGTAAAACAAAAACAATTTAAAAGGCTTTTAAACAAACAATTAGGCTTTTAATATATTGGTATATTTTTATATATAAGAAAATACATTTGTGATTATGGGGCTCTTCTGTTTATCACACCGTAGGGAAAGCATAACATGACAATTATCTAAACCTTGAAGTGCTAACATCTGTTAGGAACTTGATAAAAAGTTAGTTGGTGTGTATTTTTAAAAGGTAGACATAAAGTTCATCCACTGTATTCTAGACCTCTAAAAGGACTGGTTTCTTCCTTTGAAAATTAATCTATTTCAAATATTTTTATTATATTTTATAACACCATCTGGTTAAAAATACTCCCAGAATCTGTAGTTCATAGTTGCTGCCTAAATTTTTGCTTTACCGAATTTCCTGTAACACATTAATTACAGATTATAGTTAAAATTGCATCTAACATATATTGAGCCATTACTATGTGTGGGCACTGTACCAAATGCTTTCTATGTAGTGATTCTTTTAATCCTCAAAACAATCCTATAAGTACTATTATTATCCCCATTTCATGTACGAAGTAACAGGTAAAACAAAGTTTCCAAGATCTTAGTGCCAGCTTTTCTGTATTGTATTTACATGAATCGTTTTGAGGGGAAGACATTTTCAGAACAGGTATTCAGTGAAAAAACTAGCCTGTGTGGTTGTTTTCTGTTTCTTTGTTTTATTTGTTTTTTTTTGTTTTGTTTTGTTTTTATCCTCACCCGAGGACATTTTTCCATTTTTTGTTCAGGTAGAGTAGGAGGGGGAGAGAGGAACAGAGAGAGAGAGAGAAACATCGACGTGAAGGGACACATCGAGTGGCTGTCACCCGCACGACTGACCAGAGCCGGGGACAAACTGCAACCGAGGTACATGCCCTTAGCGGGAACCGAACCCAGGTCTCTCAGGACCGCAGGCCGACGCTCTAACCGCTGAGCCAAACCGGCCAGGGCTTTATTTGTATTTTTTAATTTCATTTGGCCAGACCTCTCGTTTAATAATTATTTCTCTAAGAAATCAGACAGAAAGTCACCTAGCCTCAGTGTAAACACTTCCAAAATGGGACATCACAACCATGCAGGCAGTCATTCCAATTCTGAATGCTTCTGACTGTTAGATAAATCTCTTCGTACTGAGCCCTGGCTGGTTTGGCTCAGAGGTTAGAGCATCAGCCCGTGGACCAGAGAGTCCTGGGTTTGGTTCCAGCTAACAGCACGTACCCCAGTTGCAGTTTGTCTCCAGCCCCGGTTGGGGTCATATGGGTGGCAACCACTCAATGTGTCTCGCTCTCTTCCTCCCTCCTGCTCTGTCTGAAGGTAAATGCAAAAATGTCCTCGGGTGAGGGTAAAAAAAAAAATTTCTTCCTACTGAGAACATTTTTCCCTCCTTGTAATTTCTACTTGCTGTTCTGCTTCTTCCCTCTGAAGCTATGCAAAATAAGAAAAATAAGTCATCTCCATGATAGCAGCCCTTTAAGAGTGTGAAGATTCCTTTGGCGCTGTTTTCTTTGTCAGACTAAACACTGGCTCTCAACAGAGGACTAATCTTTCAGCTAAGCTTTCACCATCTTGATCTTGCAGTGTTCCAGTTTGTCAACATGCTTTTCATATATAAAGGGAAAAGAAGGCTTTTTCCTACTTATAAAACTAACACGTTCCTTATGAACAATTTGGAAAACAAAGAACAAATTTTCTTTTTGACAGAAAAATTATGAAATTAAATCACAAGAAAGAAAACCTCTACTTCCTTTATCTAGAAACAATGACCACTGTTAACATCTCAACATGCATTGTCTCCATTTATTAAATTTAAAGATCATATTCATTGTGGGTTGGTTTTTTTAATTGATTTTTTAGAGAGAGAGGAAGGGAGGGGAACATCGAAGTGAGAAACATGGATCGGCTGCCTCCCGCTCACCCGCTACTGGGGATCAAGCCCGAAACCCAGGCGTGTGCCTTGACCAGGAATTGAACTCGGACCTCGCAGTCCATGGGACAATGCTTAATCCACTGAGCCACACCGGCGGGGCTCATTGTGTTTTTTGTAAACTGCTATTTTCACTAAATGAAAAGGAATATTTTTATATTTGTGGGAAAGAGGGCTCAGCTCACTTCTACTGAGTTAGTCCTTGCTGCATCTGCTTTTCTACTATTACCTGATTCCAAAAAGTGGCTGTCGGCCCAAAATTCCTACTCAGCTCCAAGGGCCATCAGATTGGGAGGGCTTCCCTTGATTCAGAGGGAACCCTTAGCAGATCATGTGTGATCTGGGGATGAGCAGTTGACCCTGGCTCAAAAACAGCATTGTGAGGTTTCAGATTTGGCCAAAAGGGATCCAAGTAGGAATTTAGGGCTGCCATATCTGATCAATTCTTGATCCTCTCAAAAGTACTCATATAAGGCCTTTCATTGAAATTGGGATCCCTTCTACCTAAATGGTCTGTTAGTTGGTTAATAATTGGCTCCAAAATCTTTTAACTGGCATGAAATTTAAGAGAAGCATCTTTGAGAAAATAATTGCTTTTCATTAACTGACCATAAAATTAAACACATGTTCAATTACTTATAAGCTACAATAAGGTATTATTTGAAGCAGTATCTAGGTACAAATGTGTTCCTGGCTCCTAATTACTAAAACTTGCTTTCTCTTTTGCACCATGTGACTTCTTTCTTTTCATAGGCCCTAACCGGGAAAGCCAGGATGATCATATATTCTCGAACCCCTCCTATTATCTCCCTCTTAAGAATCAGATGAGCGGCTTACAGAAATAGAAGTTTGCTTTTCTTTCAGTGTTATTCAGTACTATGGAAAGTGTCATCAAGAGAACATTGACTGGTACCTCTGCTCTAGCAATGCTGAGGTTTATTTCTTCAGACCAGGTTCAGGGTCAATGACTCCCAACTCAAATCTCAAAAACAAAACAAAACAAAAAGCTCCTGGCTTTTAGGAATTACCCTTCATAATGGTAAGGATGAACATGAGTCGTAGCATATGTTAGCTCTCAGCAGCCTAATTTTCTAAACAATGATGTGCTTAAGGGGATGTCTTTTTTAAATATCCTAATGTATTTTGAACTAAGTTGGTAACTTAACAGCAGTACAAAATGATTTCCTCACATCAGCCTACTTTTTTTTCTTCTTTCCAGAATAGGCGATGCAGTCTAGCACCATTGTTACCCACCAGTGATATGCAGACAGGGTATGTCAAAATCACCTGAGACGCTTTCTAAAAATGCAGATTCCCAGGCTCCAGCTGTTGATGTTCTAGCTCTCTGGTTTGAGGTGGGTCTAGGGAATCTGCATTGTTAGAAGTTTTTCAGCTTATTTTGAGAACTATTGGGCTAGCAGAAAGCTCTGGAACCAGGATTACGGTTCTGGCGTACCCATTGTCCTAGGGCAAGTTCATCTTTATACTTCAGTTACTTTCTTCGTTGGTAAATTTTGAGCAATTACAGTAGTCACTAATACAGGCAAAAGTTGGTTTACAATTGTTTGCATGGAAGATAACACAATAGCCAGGCTGGTGTGGCTCAGTGGATTGAGTGTTGTCCCATGGACTGAGAGCTCCCAGTTCGATTCCCACTCAGGGCACATGCCCAGGTTTCGGGCTCGATCTCCAGTGGGGGGCACGCAGGAGGCGACCTATCAATGTTTCCCTCTCACATCGATATCTCTCTCGAGATTTCTCCCTTCTCTCTCTAAAAAGAAAAAAACAAAAAATAATAAAAAAACATTTTTTAAAAAAGAAAATAACATAATAAATAATAACACAAGAAGAAACTCTTTTGCATACTCATAACTGTAAATCTACTTTTGCCCCATCATGTATGTATACTCAGTTGATTGCCTTTTAAAATATTAATAGGTGGTGTTCTTTTATATTACTTCCATTGAAAATTTAGGAATGGCAGGTACACTGTTTAGAATCACAGATGTCTATCTCCTTTTTCCATTCAGTTGACATCTTCTTACCTCTAGCAAGTTCTGTAGCTCATTAGGCAAACATACCAATTAAGGAAGTAAGTGCCTTATAAACTGCTTAAGACTTCATTATATGTACCCATACTGTTCCTGGATTCTTCCTACTGCTTTCTGATTACTGAGTGTTTTTTTTGTTTGTTTGTTTGTTTTACTGTTAGCTCTTTGCTAAAATAAAAATGAGAGTATCTTTGTTCTGAACTTTCCCTTAATCATGCCTTCAATAATTACCAGCTAGAGTCAGCCTCCAAGATTGGAATATAATGTTCAAACTTCTGTGAAGTGACATCAACGAGAGATACTGGTTCATCCATAGAGAGTACGTCTTTATTAAAAATGCAAACACTTGTTTGAGGTTACAGATTGTAACAGTAATACTCTATTGTTTTCTTTATTGTGGAGATATGTATTATTTAAGCTTTAAAATTATTTAATCCTAAAACTTCAATATTTATTTTAACTCATTCCTTCTATATAATTATTATTAAAGCTAAGGGAGGAAATGTGAGACCCTAAAATAAAAGGGAAATATGACTTATTTTTGCTTGGCCTTTTATTTTAAATGGTCTCCTGCAACTCACTGGCTTTAAATAAATGCCAACCCAAATGATTGATTAACATTTCTACTGGCTAATCTCTCCGGGACAGTGTAATATATAGGGGTCAGGTGCTGAGAAATTGACTCATCTAATTTAAATGTAACTTTTCAAAACTTAGATATTCAAGTTTAGGTTGTCATTAATAAAAAGTATGTACATTTTTTTCACTTGTCATACTTCCCAAACCACGTCTGTTGATACTGGTCCGAGGTCTGAGAGCTGAATGCCACCATTCCTTCTACAGCACCCCAAATCAGGGGTCTCCCAGATCCTCCTTGACTAGCTAGTGCAGAGGTTGGCAAACAGTGTCTCTAAAGGGCCAGATAATAAATATTTTAGGCTTGACAGTCTCTGTCAAACTACTCAACTCTGCTATTTTAGGACAAAAACAGCCTTAGACAATAGACAACATATGAATGGTCGTGGCTGCATTCCAGTAAAATTATACTTATAAAAACAAGCAGTAGGATTTGGCCTAGGCGCTGTAGTTTGCCAGCTTCTATTAGTGATGTTATGAGATAAAGCATTCCATTTATAGGACAGTCATGAGTGTTAGTTCTTCAGTCCAATCAGCAAATATTTACAGGGAATTACATTAAGCCATGCACTGTATGCTACAAAGAAGAAAGTAACTCCACAGTCCATACCCCTCTCTCCGAGCACCTCTCCCATGGTTCTGCTCAGATGTAGAGTCTAAAAGACTTATATGACCCTGCAGGATATTGTTCTTGTTTTCCCCTCTTGCTTCACCTCTCACTACAACTCTTCTCTGCTGTGCCTCAAATTCCTGAATTCTATATCAGCTTTCCTGATTTAGCCCAAAATTCAACTCTGTCTTCTCAGTCTTTAAGATCTAGATAGCTTCCACTCAGATCTTTATTCCATACCTTCTGGATTTCCAAAGTCTTTTTTTTTTTCTTTGTGGTATGTGCCCCTAGCAGGAACCGAGCCCGGGACTCCCTGGTCCGCAGGCTGATGCTCAACCGCTGAGCCAAACTGGCCAGGGCTGGATTTCCAAAGTCTTTCTCAAAATGTATCCTAATCCCAGGATGAGGGTAGGGGGCAGTCATTACTGACTTTGGGCTCCTGGTTCCACTTATGCTCTTTCTGTTCAACAACATTTTGACCCAGATGTGAAAATCGGTCATTCTTCTGTTTCCTCCAAAGACCTCATCCACACGGAGCATTTGTGAGCTTGGAAAACTTCACTGATCAGTTAGGTGTCAGAAGGAAGAAGAATCACATCACACCATACAAAGTAACTTGAAGCCCCTTATTAGCCATAGCTTCCATATTCTTAAAAGTTCTTTAGCTTGGCTGTCACCAGGATTCGCTCGCTGGCTTTTCACCCGGTAAGTCCCCATCCTTCTACTGTCCTGTCCACTGGCTTCTTCCCCTCTCCCTGCCCTCCCCTCTCTTCTCCTCTTCTCACAAGAGCAAAAAGCAAATCTCTCCCACTCCTGGGCAGCGTAATCAGCCTGAGGTTGCTGGGTCTCTTACCAACACCCTTATTTGCAGAGTCTCTGTCTCTACACCAAGTAGCCTGACAAATATCAAAAAAAGCAGATCCTTCCCTGAGAAGAATTCTGGAGCCCACATTGCCAGGAATTTCCAATTCCGTAACCTTAGGCCTTTTCACGTGTTTTCCCCCTGACTGGAATCTTCCTTCTCTTCTACTTGATGACCTACTTATCCTTTGGACTCATCTCTAGACAATGATTCCCCCAGGAATCCTTCCTTCGGAAAGAAATCCTGTTGATCCTGCAAGGTGCCGGGGAGTATACTACCAATCCTAGACTACTTAAATCCAAGGTCAAGTGATGGGCAGAAGACGACTAGAGAGCTGGTTTGCTTCCGACTCACCGTTAACGTGACAGGGTGGCCTTTTGGGGTCCCAGCTTGTTTTGGAGATGGTCTCTCTTAGATTCCTCACCTGGTTGATGCCTGTACCTCTCGCCCTGCAAGGTCCTTAAAACAAAAATGAAATCAGCCAGAATCGGCACTGCCCTAAGTCCAAAGAGGTTTCTGTGCTCGTCTACCCCTCCGGACTCCCAGTTTCCCTCTTATGAAGCCCTGGTATCCCTTTCCGACTTGCTAACAACTAATTGCTTTTAAGAACATGTTTTCCTTCTTTTTCTTTTCAGTATTGTTTTGTTTTGTCTTCTCTAGGCTAATCAATAAGGTCAAATAAAAATTGAATTCAACTTGCCCAAGAAAATTTAACCCAGAGTACAACTGGGTTTCCTTGTTAAGATTTTCGTGTCATTGCCTGTTCTCAAGGAAAACTTCCTAGTCAGTAAATATTTGTTGAGCACCATATAGTTGCACAACACTATGCTGTAGCCTGGGGATTCTGTGGTGAGCGTGGCAGAGACCTTGTCTATAGTGATTTGTCCTCTCTTTGCCCTGCTGTGGCACCTGTGATGAATCAAGGTTCTTTGTTCTCTAGAACATTATACTCTTCATCTCCTGGTGTTAGATAACTGTTTTATTATAAAAGGATATAACTCGGGAACAGCCAGGTGGAAGAGATGCACAGGGCAAGGTATGTGGGAAGAAGCACACAGCTCCATGCTGCCTGAGCACGCCACTCTCCCTGCACCTCCACGTGCTCCCCAACCCAGAAGCTCCCTTTCAGCATTTTTAGTTGTTTTCAGTGGGAAGGTTGGTCCAAATAATCTAGATTGCCATTACTGGAAACTGGAAGTCATTAAATCCTTCCTAATTAGGAAGCAGATCTTTTGCCAGATAGTCTTAAGTGTTTTGTGAGGTCCTCTCCCTCACCTGATGCTTTCATTACTGCATCATAGGCTGCAGTCCAGGAAACAAATCCATCTCTTTGGTCTTGCTAATTCATCATGTATGCATGCATCTGTCAGACATCCATTTAGTACTTCCTGTGAAGCATGGATACAGCAGTGAACAAGATAGAGTCCCTCTCCTTCACTTCCTTGTTAAGAAACAGCAGAAAAAGTCAATTGAACTACCAGCCAATTTAGAAAACGTTTTTGTCTCCAGCCCACTGAATGGTAGTTAAGGGGCCGGACTACTGGAGACTGGATTTCTATGAAAGGTAACTGCTGAATAAGGCAATGTTTCTAAAACTTTGGCATGCGTAAGAATCATCTAGAGGTTTGTTAAAACATTACTGGGCCCCACCCCTAGACATTCTGATTCCTAGGTCTGAAGTGGAGCCTGAGAATTTGTGTTTCTAACAAGCTCTTGGGAGATGCTGATGCTGCTGGTCCATGGTCCACACATTCAGAACCACTATTAGAGAAGCTCTAGATAGAGCTTAGGAACAAGAGTTTCTGCACCTTTACAGTACTCTCCATTTTTTTTAAATAAAAAGATAATCTGTGGCCAAGACCAGTCAGTGGGGGAAAGAATAGTCACTTCAACAAACGGTGCTGGGACAACTAGATATCCATATACAAAAGAATGAAGTTGTACCTTTATCTCACACCATAAAAATTAACTCATGGATCTGAGAACTAAATATAAGAGCTAAAACTAAAAAATTGTCAGGAAAACACATGGGATAAATCTTCATGATCTTGGATTTGGCAATACATTCTTAGATATGACACTAAAAGCACAAGCAACAAAAAAAAGTTGGGCTTCATCAAAATTAAAAACTTGTGCTTCAAATGATGCTATCAAGAAAATGAAAAGACAGCATACAGAAAAGGAAAAAATATTTGCAAATCCTGTCTGATAAGAGACTTGTATCTAGAATAAAGAACTCTTACATCTCAGTGGCAAAGGATCTGAGCAGACATTTTTTCAAAGAGCATATTCAAATGGCAAATAAGCACATGAAAAGAAGCTCAACATCATTAGACAATAGAGAAATGCAAATCAAATCCACAAAAAGATAATTACTTAACATGCACTAGGATGGCTATAATTTTTTTTAAAGGGAAATAAGTGTTGGCAAGGATATGGAGAAACTGGAACCCTCATACATTGCTGGTGGTAGAAATTTTCCAGTGTGGAAAACAGTGTGACAGTTCCTCAAAAAATTAAACAGAATTGCTATATGACCCAGCATTCCACTACTAGGTATATGCCCAAAAGAAATGAAAACAAGTATTTAAACAAAAACTTGCACATAAATGTTCATAGCAACATTATTAACGATAGCCAAAAAGTAGAAACAACCTAAATGTTCAACGGGTGAATGGATAAAGAAAATGTATTCTATCCATGCAATGGAGTATTAGTCAGCCACAAAAAGGAATGAACTACTGATATGTGATATAGTCACAAAAAACCACATACAGATTTCATTTATGTGAACTATTCAGAATAAGCAAATCTATAGGGATAGAAAGTAGGTTAGTGGTTGCTTAGGGCTGGGCTTGGGAGGGGAGTGGGGAGATGATGGCTAAAGAGTCTTGAAAAGGTTTCTTTCTGAGGTGATGAAAATCTAAAATTGTTATGGTGATTAGTTGTGCATATTTGAGAATATACTAAAAACAATTTAACTATATACACTTTAAATGGATGAATTGTATGGCATATGAGTTATATCTCAATAAAGACATTTAAAAGAAATAAGCATTCATACAACTATAAAAAATACACAGATTGCCCTGGCCAGTTTGGCTCAGCGGTTAGAGCGTCAGCCCGTGGATCAGAGAGTCCCGGGTTCGGTTCCGCTAAGGGCACGTACTTCAGTTGCAGTTTGTCCCTGGCCCTGGTTGGGGCTGTGTGGGTGGCAACCAGTCAATGTGTCCCTTTCACATCGATGTTTCTCTCTCTTCCTCTGTCCTTGGGTGAGGATTTAAAAAATAAACACACAACAGGTAGCCTGGCTGGTGTTGCTCAATGGTTGAGCGCTGACCATGCACCAAGAGGTCTCCGGTTCAATTCCCAGTCAGGGCACAAGCCCAGGTTGTGGGCCAAATCCCCAGTGGGGGGCATGCAGAAGGTGGCCAATCGATGTTCTCTCTCATCGATGTTTCTATCTCTCTATCCCTTTCCCTTACTCTCTCTCTAAAAATCAATAAAGGAAAAAAATAAATAAATATACACACACATACATAAACTGTAAGCCCTCAGGAATTTAACCTCATTCCTTCAGTAGTCCAATGATGCCAAAATAACCAGTATGTATCATAACCTACCCAGCATTAAGAATTCTGTGTGTGGCCCTGGTCGGTTTTCTCAGTGGTTAGAGTGTTGGCCTGCGGTATGGAGAGACCCGGGTTCAGTTCCCCCTAAGGGCATGTGCCTCAGTTGCAGTTTGTCCCCGGCCCTGGTTGGGTTGTGCGGGTGGCAGCCACTCGATGTGTCCCTTTCACGTCAATGTTTCTCTCTCTCCTTTTCTCTCCCTCCTGCTCTATCTGAACAAAAAATGGAAAAATGTCCTCGGGTGAGGATTAAAAAGAAAAAGAGTGTTAGTCCCATTCATGAGGGCTCCACCTTCATGACCTAGCTCTCTGCTAAAGGCCCCAACTTCTTATATCATCACATTGGGCATTAGGATTTCAACATATACATCAGGGGGACCAAAAACATTCAGACCATAGTATTCCATATTGAAGCTATTTAAAAAGTCTCTCTTTTTTCACAGGTATCATGAATTAAGGGAGTCGCTCCAACAATGTAGGCTTCCATGGGGTGCTGACAGGGAATATGGTGGGATGATACCCATTTCACTCCCTGAAGAACACAGGCCAAAATGTGGACTTCCTCATGTCATGGGCAAGGGACATCAGCACTATGGATTTGGTGGAGATAACTGGCCAAAGTAAGTAATCTTTCTGCCTTTCACGTAGAGGTATTTATTATTCATTTTTATTTCTATTGTGAGTCCTTTTTAATTTACATCTACATCCAAACTTACTTCTTTTCTATTTATAAGAAGACACAGATGGAAAAACTAATTACATAATTTCTAATTGTGAAGTCAGTTAAAAAAAAAAATCTGTGTTTATGGATGTCTTTGCTGTCCATAGAGATGTTCAAGTATTATTATCAGAAATTTTTATTAATTTCATTTCCTTGCTAATCACATTTTACCTAAAACTAAAGGGGAATATTCCTGAGAGAGATTAAATTAAAAATGTTTTTGCTTGAGCAAATAGCTGGCCTAATTTGTACAGATGTTCTTGATTTTTTAGAACTTTTGATTTCTAATTTGTTCATCAAGCTATAGTCATTAGAATCTATGGGGCATTGTTTTCAATTATTAAAATATTTCAGTAATCATTTATAAATCTTAAAGTCACTCCTTCCACAACTTTATCAAAACATGGGTCAAACTGAAGAGAGAGCAAAAAAAAAAAAAAATTCTGAGCGGCAAATAAAATGTCACATTAATTATTTACTAAAAATTATGAACTTTATTCAAAATAAAATCTGTCAAACCTTCCCACAGAGCCTCCTTACTTGGCTTAGGAAAGACAAGTCACAGCTAGAGAGAGAAACAGTAACAACAGGGACACGTGGTGGCCGATGACCTTTTTGAAGCCCAAGTAAAGCAATAAACAACAGACAAATGAAAATGTGATCACCTCTCCAAAAGGGAAGACCCAAAGTCTCATCAGTTCCTGCACCCAGCTCCAAGTCCAGGATCTCTGCGTGACATTCACTTCTGTCTAGTTCAGTCATAATCTTGTCCCGAGAGTCCACACACCCTCTATGAAATAATAAGGAAAAAGGAGAGGACAAATTAGTTAATATATAAAAATATATACACAACACAGCAAGGAAGAAAATATAGGATGTGGCTACAGTTCTTATTTCTACAGTTCTTATTTATAGTTGGCATGAGGCTCTTGGTGTTATAATTTTCTTCCTCCACGACCCATTCCAAGTTGCCTTGCCCTCAGCCAGTACCTGTGCTGGTAGGAGTTCATTACCTGGTGGAGCAACCTCAAATTCTGTTCCTGAGATCTAAAGTCTAAGTGTGAGGCTGCTACAGTATCCCATTAACTATGCCACTAGAAGCAATACTAGGAGGTGTCCAAAAGGTTCTTTAGGTTCTAGAAATACTCCTTTCCCCCATCTTGTCTAGCAGCAGTCCTCTTGCCCTTGGTGTAAGGATCAATCATCCCAGCCTACTTGGTACAGTCCTTTCATGCCTGTTTTCTCCGGAGTCATAGGAGCCCCAAATTACCACATCATGTCAGTTTCCAATTCAATGGGACTGTTGTTGTGTTCCCTGATGAACGCATTTCTCCCTCTACCTCTAAACCAGCAAAGCCCAAGGGCTGTGGAGGAAGTAAAACTGAGTTCTCAAATGTAACAGAAAGTCAACAGTGAGAGGTATCACTCCCACTTCCACCGTTTGCTTTTTAGACCATGCATTTTGGCTTTGGGGAAAACTAGTTATTGGTCATTGATTCAGAGCACGTGCCGCACTCTTTAGGACAACATTCAGTCATAACTGAATCTTCCACAGGCTATTCTACCATTCTGCAAATCTGATAAGACCAACGTATCCTTTAAATTTAACCACTGCCGTTTTTGTAGTAAATTACTTACTCAGAAGTAATATTGTCTAAATGGCGCGCAGTGAGTAAGGCGCTCGGGAAGTCCACCAATGACGGGACTGGCAGAGGTGTAGTGAGAAGGAAAGGGAAATCCATATTTAGAAGGGTCTAGTCCTGTGAGGATAAATCGTGTCTGTCATGGTGGAAGGGTCCAGTGTACAGCTTCCCATCAGATGGCTGACTAGTACACCCAGGGAGATTTTTCTGTATGAAGTATTTAAGGTTGGTAACTTCTGCTGGCAAACTCAAATGTGGCCAGGTCAGTTTTGATGAGTCCATACATAGTAACACCTGTCCCTGCCCCAATGATAACTTAGTTTATGATTCCACTGAGCAAGCCCTGGGGTGACCAGAGAAAGCCTGACTGATGCCCACAGACTTGCTCATTTTATCTACCTAATTAATAACAACATTCTCAATCACGGGGTTTTCTTGGTGAGCATTCTCTTCAGCCATTCTTGGAAGCCAAGAAAGCAAATTTGTTGGAATCTATGTTGGAGAGATAAGATGTAGGGTGTGTGTTCAGAAGATATTGGTCAGCCCTGGCCAGTTTGGCCCATTAGTTGGATCATCAGCCCGTGAACCAAAGATTTGAGGGTTTGAGTCCAGTCAAGGGCAAGTACCTTGGTTGTGGTTCGTCCCCTGCCCTGATCAGGGTTGTGCGGGAGACAACCAATTGGTGTGTCTCTCTCACATCAATGTTTCTCTCTCTCTCTCTCCCCCTCCCTCCCACTCTATCTGAAAATAAATGGAAGAATATCCTCCGGTGAGGATTTAAAATATATATATATTGGTCAGCCACAAGGGACAGTACTACAATGTGTATTAAAACAGTCCAAGCACCAAGAGCGAAGGCTTTAGGTGATAATGTGTTAATGTAGGGTCATCAATTGTAACCAACAATAAAATATAATATATATATATATATATACACACACACACACATATATATATATATATATATATATAGAGAGAGAGAGAGAGAGAGAGAGAGAGAGAATTAGTTTGTGTATGGAAACATTTGATATATAGTATTAGGCAAGTTAGTTCTTTTTATCTGTATATGATCTAGAGATTATAAATACAGATCTGTCTCATTCTTTTTAATTTCTCAGTGTTCCACAATATGGATACATCATCATAGATTTAGCCATCCTTGTAATTTTTTTTTTTCATTAACTATAACTAATGAATATGCCTGTACAGGCCTGCTTGAACTCTTACACAGATGTTCTACTAGAGAAAATCCAAAGTGCAAGTTATGGGCCACAATATATAAATATTTTTCATTTTAATAGATATAGCCCAAATGCTTTATATTTTCTTGGTAGTGGCTAAAAGTGTTCATTTCTCCACACTCTTAGCCAACTGTATTAGTATCAAACTATAATTTTTGCCCATCTAATGAGTATCTTGGTTATCAGAATGCATTTGTCTGGTTAGGTTAAGAACTTTTTTCTTAATATAGCCATTTACATGTCCTTTTCTGTTCTTATTTTCTCCATTTTTATTGTTTGTCCTTTAGCTGTAGATTCTTACTGGTTCTTTATGTTTTGGATATTAATCCTTTACATATCCTATTGCCAGTCTTCCAATCTGTGTTTTATTTGAGCTTTTCATTTGCTGTTATTGTATTTCCTGTTGGTTTTTGACTTTTAAAAGAAAAATTTTATTTAAAATGTTGTCCCTTCGGCCAAGAAAAAAAAACATATCATTGTATATTTTATTGTAATATTTCTATGTATTTCCTGATTCTTTAGATATTTAATCCATCTGAAATTATCTTTGTGAGTAGTACAAAATAGAAATCTATTTTTTTCCAAATGGCCAGTGAATTTTCCCTTCATTGTTTATTGAAAGTAAATCCTTCTCCACTGATTTAAAGTGCCACCTTTTTGCCCAGCCAGAGTGGTTCAGTTGGTTGAGTGTCATCCTGTGCACTAAAAGGCTGCTGGTTCGATCCCCCGTAAAGACACATACCTGAGTGGTGGATTCAATCCTCACTTGGGGCATATACAGAAGGCAACACTGATGTTTTTCTCTCGCATTAATAATGTTCTCTCTCTCTCTCCCTCCCTCCCTTCTTCTCTCTAAGCATGTCCTTGGGTAAAGATTTAAAAAATAAAATAAAATGGCACCTTTTCATATACTGAATTTCCAAATACACATAGTTATATTAATCTCTTTGTCTTTTCCTATCTCACTGTTACATTGTGTTAATTTGAAAAACTGTTCAATATAATTTTTTCTTTTCAGAAGGCTTCCTATTGAACAATTCTATTATTTGACACAGAACAAAAAAAGTGACATCTACGAAAATGATTCTTTGTAAGTTTGGGGTTTCTTTTCCTTATATGAAATCAAATAACATTTTTTAAGTGAAAATGAGTTATATGAGAAATTTTTTAAAGCCCCAACATGGAAACTTTTAGAAAACACAAAAGTGTCCCTTTTTTTTTTTTTTTTTTAGGGAGATCATTAATAATAGAAACCAAGCCCTGGCCAGTTTGGCTCAGCAGTTAGAGCGTCGGCCTGCAGTCCAGAGAGACCCCGGTTCGGTTCCCACTAAGGGTGCGTGCCTCGGTTGCAGTTTGTCACCAGCCCTGGTTGGTCGTGCGGGTGGCAGCCACTCGATGTGTCCCTTTCACGTCGATGTTTCTCTCTCTCTCTTTTCCTCTCTCTCCCACCCACTCTATCTGAACAAAAAATGGAGAAATATCCTCGGGTGAGGATTAAAAAAAAAGTAATAGAAACCAAGACCAAACAAATTACAGAAATAAAACAAAGAAACCTAAGACCCACTAATAGTTTGTGGTATTTAAACAAGTGAAGGAAAGCAGGAAGTATGGGCTATAATGTTCAAGGGATTTGTACAGGCCATCTTGGCCACTTCCCTGCCTTTGACCTAGTTACTCAATCTAATAAGAATGTTACACTTCTTTAAAGGCTCATCAAAAATGCCCCAGCACCCTCAACAATTTTTATTTTTTTTTATTCTTTAAGAGAGACATATCTACTGGCTGCCACCCACATGACCCCAACCCGGGCTGGGGAAAAATTGCAACCGAGGTACGTGCCCTTAGCGGGAACCAAACCCGGGTCTCTCTGGACCATGGGCCGACACTCTAACTGCTGAGCCAAACCAGCCAGGGCCTTAACAAAATTTTTAATTAGAATTTTATGAGATGTTTGTTATGATAATCTACAAATAACTTCATAAGATTACTCCCTAAGTCTCTTTTGGATAAGGAACACTTGGTAATCATTTTTTATTCTTTGAAGTAGTTTGTTGTATATAATACGAAAATCATACTTTTTAATTTTCAGACAAAAATAAAACACTGACAATATTGAAGTAACTGAAAATATCCCTTCTTTGCCTTTAACTATTAGAATTATTAGGAATCCTTTTATGGGTAAGAAGTTAATATAGAGTTTAGCCACAAGAGGGAGCTAAAAAGACATTGGTGGTTACTAACCCCCTTGTTTGTCCTTTTGGAATTAGTTAACTTTGAAAAGTAAATATGAGTATGGCAGTAAATATTAGACTGGTCAGATCAAGGAATTGGTGTCACTGAACATATTTTCTTTTCAAACTTTGAGGGTTTTCTTTTTAGAAGCTTTCCTTTAAAAAAAAAAAAAAAGTTTTCCATTTGAATCAAATTAGTTTTAGCCATACACTTGTCAATATGATAAATAATTTGCCAAATGAGAAAATGTTTAAATGCTGACTTAATGTTTCATAAATAATAGCCAATCTAGTAACTCTAGATCCCTTGGATTCTTATATTCATTGCCCCCTGTTCCCTAATTCAACCAGAAATATAACTGGAAGACATATATATATTTTTTTAAGTTCTAAACCCACAAACTTAGAGTACAAATGAAAAAAGGACATAAACATCTTATGGTCCATGTGAATCGTGTGTTTATATTTCAGACTAGTAAAATTATATGGCTAATATACCATTTTCTAAATAGAAAAACATAAAAAATTAAAGAGTATAATCAATTTTACTGATCTTTACTATCAACTGATTAACATTCTGTTCATTTTTCATGCCTGAGATATTTCAGAAATATTTGCACAATTTGAAACTAATTATTGGAACCCAATCAAAGTGGATGACAATCCTTCCCTAGTGCAGACTTTGTTTCTGGGCTGCAGTATTACTTCTTGGCATGCAGAGCTCAGCATAATTAGTAAATACACAACCTTCAAATGAACTGATTCAGAAAAAGCATACCTTCAGTACCTTGTTCAGTTTTTTGTTTTTTTTTTATCCTCTGCGAGGACATTTTTCCATTTTTTGTTCAGGTAGAGTGGGAGGGAGAGAGAGGAACAGAGAGAGAGAGAAACATCGATGTGAAGGGACACATCGAGTGGCTGCCACTCGCACGACCAACCAGGGCCGGGGACAAACTGCAACCGAGGTACATGCCCTTAGCGGGAACCGAACCCAGGTCTCTCCAGACCGCAGGCCGACGCTCTAACTGCTGAGCCAAACCGGCCAGGGCCCTTGTTCAGTTTTTTTCTAGCCTCTCTGTTTACTGGGAGAGATCAGCAATCCCAGGCAAAAGGACTAAGCACACACAGTACTGACAGAGTTTCTCCAACCAGCCCACACTCGGGTCACTTTAGGTTGTGTAACTGCACACACATGGTGGCAGGCTGCCTCAGAGCACTTTTGCTGCTACCTAACTATGAGGGTGAATGTCAGTAAGAACCAGAGCTCTGTTATCATTAGAAGTAGGCAGTCCTACCTGCACTACAAATAAGAAATGCAAAATGGGTGTTAAGTAGGACTAACGTTAGAGTAAGCAGAATGGGGGGAAAAGAACATAACTCATCGATAGACAACTGAGATATAATGACATCATATCTCTCTGGTCAGTTACTCAATGTTCCAGAAAGTAAATCAAGATATTATAAAGTCAGTATTGTCTGAAATACACTGTAGTTGGAAAATTGGTTGCATCTTTATTCTTAAGCAAGTTTCTAAAAGGAAAGTAAGCTTTAAAAAGTCCTTAATATAAAATAGGATTTGTTTCCTTTTTTTATTCTAGGATGCCCAAACCACCTAATTCAACAGTAGGGTGAGTATACAACTTGTATTTTCCTTCCCTGTTTTGTGTGTGTGTGTGTGTGTGTGTGTGTGTTTTAATGTATTGATTAGAGAGGGAGAGAAACATCAGTTTGCTGTTCCCCTTGTTTATGCATGCATCGCTTGCTTCCTGTATGTGCCCTGACCAGGGCTCCAACCCACAGCCTTGGGATTAGAACAGCACCTGCCACAAAGAAGGGTTCCAATAAATGTTTGATGATTAATGTTTTTAAATTGCACTTCTATTCTGTTGTTTGCTCAACTAAATCTCAGCGAAATCTGCTCCCCGTATCCAGTTGAACACCCCTACCACACACACATTCCTCGCGGTGCCATGTTCCCGACCTTCACGTCACCTAAGGACCGCTACACTGGCGTCAGAGCCCGAGGCCAGCGGCCATTTCCTCCCACGGTGCCGACCAAGCCTTATGATACAACAGTTCTGAAGACAAGAGGTAAAATATGATTTAACAGTATTAATTATTCTTCTATTTGGAGTTTATTCAATAATAAAATTAAAGAAAGTAGAGCAAAGGACTCAAGTTACAAAAGTGTGACCCATCAGATTGGAGAAGTTGTTCTCAACTGTGGCTGCACTTTAGAATCAGCTGGGACCTCACCACAGACCAATTAAATCAGATTCTCTGCAAATGCTCTTAACTTTTCTTCTTTATACAGGGCCTCCCATGGTAGAATCAGAACAAACATTGTAGAATTGGTTGTTTTTATTCTACTTATATTTTATTTCCTTTTTGCTCTCTCCTATGGTTTAGCTTTTTAAAATTCCATCCTAGCTCAGGTGATCAGAGCATCAGTCTGGACGTGGATGCAGCAGCCATGATGAAAGGGAAAGATCCTCATTGAAACAGGACTCAGAAAGTAATGGGAGCAGTTTATTCAGTTCCTTTTAACACAGCCGTCCTCAACCTGTGGGTCGTGACCCCTTTCACGGGTCACCTAAGACCATCGGAAAACACATTTTTCCGATGGCGATTCATAACAGTAGCAAAATTATAGTTATGAAGTAGCAACAAAAATAATTTTATGGTTGGGGGTCACCACAACATGAACTGTGTTAAAGGGTCACGGCATTAGGAAGGTTGAGAACCACTGTCTTAACACCTTGGAGCATTTTATCACAGATGCAAACATTGAGGTCTTCCCAGATGAGTTTTATTAAAGGGAGGTAAACCCATACACTAGTCATCAAGGCTCTCCCACACTAGACACCTTAAAACAGAGAAGAAACCGATGGCGAAAGACTGAAGGTAACTGAAGGTGACAGAAAAGGTACATAGTAGGCAGAGATAAATATTTGTTTAATGAATTCGGGCTGTAAGGAAGGCAAGACCCAAGAACTGTCCTACAATGCGGGTCCCTCTGTACACAGATAATTGAACCCATAGGTAAGAACAGATACTGCCATCATCACTGTCAACTTCAGTACCTTCCAGGAGACAGTAACATGTTGAGAGATACTACAGTAGAATGTTTATCTTCAGATAGAGCAGGAGGGAGAGAGAGAGAGAGAGACATCGATGTGAGAGAGACACATCGAGTGGTTGCCACCCACACGACCCAACCAGGGCGGGGGACAAACTGCAACCAAGGTACGTGCCCTTAGTGGGAACCGAACCTGGGACTCTCCAGTCCACAGGCCAACACTCTAACCGCTGAGCCAAACCGGCCAGGGTTTAAGAACATGGACTGTGGAGTCAGACTGCCTGGGTGGAATCTGGCTCTGCCACTTACTCACCATGGATCATGGGAAAGTTTCTTCACTTCTTAGCCTCCACTTCCCAAACTATAAAATGGGAATATTAGTACCTACTTAATGGATAATAGAGACAAGTGTTAGCAGTTACTATTTTTACTACTCAGCTACCTGAAATCAACCATGGTCTGAAAATAATGAATGGAAAATTCCAAAAGTAAACAATTCACAAGTTTAAAATTACACGCCATTCTGAGTATCGTGATGCGCTCTCCCAGCATCACACTCCATCCCACCCTGACATAAATCATCCCTCTGTCCTGCGTGTCCAGGCCAGGGATTGGACCTGCAACCCCTCAGTCCGAGAGCTGATGCACTAACTGCTGAGCCAAACCAGCCAGTGCCTAACTCCATTTCTTGATATTTAGGCAGGGAAAAGCCAAAATAGGTAGTTTAGAATTATATTCACTGAAACTGGAAAGAGGATCCAGGAAGATATAGAATTTACCTGAAAATTCCTTTCATTAACAAGAAAGGGGAAGTACTAGTCCACCTCCTATAGCTGAGAGCACTAAGGTTAGAGTCCTTCTCAGTCTGTGTGTCCCACACGCTGGGCATTGGTGGGGCAAAAAGTCAAACAAAGCTGTAACCACACAGCTAAATGTACACCCACACTCTCTCTACCTCGTATTATCGTGTTTCTATTTACTACACCCATAGATCCCGTGAGCTAGGAGACTGTTCTTGTATATGCAGGATAACAGTGCTTTCCCTGAAATTTCAGGTAATCCATACAGATACGAACTGCTTGATTTTCCCATGGATTCAAAGAAGAAAGCCTTGATGTGGCCAGGACAGGATGTATATTATGACGTAAGTATCTTTTTAAATTTGTGTTTAAAATAAAGTAAAAATGTTTTTACTGTATATGTTTATGAAAATCCAAAAGATAGATTGTTTTTATATTCTATCTGAGTTTTTTGACCAGGATTCATATTTTTAATAGTTGTTTTCTTAACTGATTTCAGATAGTTTGGGCAGTTATGTAACATTTCCAGTTACCAAAAAAAAGGTTCCTCCCAAAAAAAGGTGGAAGAGGACTGTATTTCACTCACTCTGTGTCCCCCACTCTATTTATATGATCCATAATATATTAAGTAACTCCAAATATGAATAAATGAGAGATTTTCAGAAGATTTACAATTTATTGTTCTAACCATTATATTTGTGTAGACTCAAAAATAAAACAGTAGACACTATTTACTGAGAAATTGCTACACACTAATCACTTTAGAAAAAATATGTCACTTAGCCCTTAAAATAAGCTCATAAGGTTAGTATCACCACCCCCATTTTATACATGAGGAAACTGAGGCTCAGAGTTTGTGACTATCTCATGATCACAGACGTCAGGCTTGTGAGATTCCAGTCTCTGCTCTTAACCTCCATACTATAACTCCACATGGATAAAAAAAGAAAATCTTAAATCATGAAAGAAAATACCTAGAAATTTGAAAATAATAATAGCTAACATTCATTGGCCAGTGAGTTTGTGAGGGGCGGTGCCAAGTGTTTTCCATGTTATCTCCTAGTACCTAACAATCTACGAGTTAGGCAAGAAATAATTATGGAAGGCTGAAACATTCGCATTCCATTTAGAAAGGCCATTGTCACAGGCCAGAGTGTGGTCACTGTAATGTCACATAGTTATCTATAAAGTAAGCAGTTTCCTGTTTGTTTTTTGTAAAGTTATACATCAAGAAAAGTCCTTAAAGAATCATCTGTTTTACTGGCTGTCTTTCATTCTTTCAAGCAAAACTTCTATCTAAGCAACCCAGAAATATGAGAAGTTATTCTGGAGGTGATTCCATCATTACATGTTCTTGTAGCCAAAGTTTACAGCTCTGGAGTTTAATTTCTTCTTTCAATTTCCCTCATTTCCACCCTCTCATAAACATTTTGTTTTCCTCATGTCACATCCCTTTGCAACCACCTTGACTAGCTCTCAATCTCCCTTGCCAAGTGTAAATCCCAGTGCTTTAGCTGAGCTACAAAGACCCTTTGGACCCTGGCCGGTTTGGCTCAGTGGTTAGAGCGTCAGCCTGCAGTCCAGAGAGACCCGGGTTTGGTTCCCACTAAGGGCACGTACCTCGGTTGCAGTTTGTCCCAGTTGGTCGTGCGGGTGGCAGCCACTCGATGTGTCCCTTTCACATTGATGTTTCTCAGCCACTCTATGTGTCCCTTTCACATCGACGTTTCTCTCTCTCTCTCTCTCTCTCTCTCTCTTCCTCTCTTTCCCTCCCACTCTATCTGAACAAAAAATGGAAAAATGTCCTCAGGTGAGGATTAAAAAAAAAAAAAGACCCTTTGGGATCTGGTCTTTCTCCCTTCCTACATAGCCTGGCTCCACTTGCTAGTCCTCCAACAGGTTCATGGCCATTTCCTGTTCCTGAATACCCTCTTTTCATGGTCTCTTTGCCTATTTAAAACTTGCTCACTCTTCAAAGCTCAGCTCAACTCTCATTGTTTATGTTGCCTGGAATTTCTTTTTTCCACCTCCTGGGGAGATACTGAATCAGCCCTTATTCTACTAGATGACATTAATTACAATAATCTTTTATGTTCATATTCTAGTTTCCTAAATGTGTTGAGAAAAACAAGCCAGTGTTTTACCCCAAACCTCCTAAAACCTTCGCTCCTAACACTTCTTTAAAGTCATGGGATCCTATTAACTCTCTAAAAGAAGCCAATATACAGAGAAATCTTGAGAGGTCCCACTGGATCAGTTCATACACTCATGATTTTACAGGTATGCGTTCACTTTAAATCAAGTAAAAAGAACAAAATTAAATAGTTGACAAATGCTGGTACAAGCATTCATCTTCTATTTCCCCCATTTCTTAATCTAAGTACTAATGGAAATTAAAGTGGGTAGTAAGTTTCTCTTAGTGAGTAGCTGGGAGGTAAAGTTGGTTTTCATTTTATTGGTTCTAGCTATATTACAAAGGGGAATGGTCATTTACATGCTGTTTTTCATTTAACAAAATAATAAGATATGATGTTTCCATTAAGGTCTGGGGCCCATGAACCCCCTTGAACTGGATGATTACCATGAAAAGGAGATAGCAGAGTTAACTGGACAGATAACATTTGACCCAGAGCCTGTAAGTAATTGCAGTCAACTCTTAAGTTATTTGGGGGGAAAGTATCCACATGTTGGGCTCTTTCTTGCTTTGCTCACTTCCTATTTGCTTCTTGAGTATTGGTGACCAAACTAGAAAAAGGAAAATTTAACTCATTTTAGAAGTTAAATTTGAATTAATTTGAACTGGTTTGAATACCTCTCTCCACTGTTTTGAAGAACAAACAGGTTTCTTTTTTTCTTCATGGTACTGGTTAATTTTTTTAAAACATTTTATACTGTGTTAACTGTTCCTAAAATTTACAAAGGAACTGGGTTACAAAAACTTACCTAGTAATTTAATAAGATTCTTAAATCTGCGGTTCTGTGGTTCTTTTCATATTTGTGTGTCTTGTACATGTCACTGCTTTAGAAGAGATGAAGGCTTCTTCCTGATAGCCACAAGAGTTGAGAGTTGACTGGATTACAATCAAAAGCCAATAAATTCTCTGTAAATGGGAGAGATTTCTTAATTATGTGAAATGGCCTGAAACTAATGCTCAAACCCTTTAGTGATACAAGCTATAATCTGTTGGCTTAATTATGTAAATGAAATAAAATGACCTAATAGTATTCACTTATTGTTTTATTTGGGGCCTAAATTTTATCCTCTAAAACTGCAAAGTTTTTAAAATAAAATTAATATTTTCAAAAAAGTAAACTATGGAAAAATATGTTTTAAAAACTTTGAGCTATTTCAGTATGAATTCGTTTTAGACTGAACTGTCCAAGTTTTTTTTTAATCCTCACTCGAGGACATTTTTGCATTTATCTTCAGATAGAGCAGGAGGGAGAGAGGGAGGGAGAGAGAGAGAGAAACATCAACGCAACAGAGACACATCAAGTGGTTGCCACCCACACGACTCCAACCTGGGCGTGGACAAACTGCAACCGAGGTAGTACGTGCCCTTAGTGGGAACTGAACCCCAGGACTCTCTGGTCCGCCTGCCGTTGCTCTAACCACTGATCCATACCGGCCAGGGCCTGTACACATTTTTTACATTAGCCTCAGTATTTCCCAAAGTGATATAAAATCATTAACATCAGAAGTAGTTCCATTGACTGTGCTGTATCATTCGCTGAAGGATTTTTAATTTTGTTTATTTTCCACTTGCAAACAGCATTCTCTAAGGTTAGAATGGTACGCATACTCTGACCCTGTCGGGTGTGTTCAGCAATTGTCCAGACTCCTACAGATTTGACCCTTTAGGGTCCAGCCCCTCAGGATGCAGCTTTGTCACTTTTATTAAGAAATACATGTACAGTTATACAAAGGATGTTTGTCAAGTATAGTATATGTGAAATTATTGTGCAAGTAAATCAACACCTAAGTTTTTATTAATAATAAGATAATATATGCCTAAAATAGTTGGAAGTGAATCTTGCTAGTTTCTGACTGAATAACAGACTCTGAGAAGGCATATTTTAGTGGTAATAAATATGTGTATGAAATATTTTCTATAGTAGAATTAAACAAAGGTATTAAAAACTACTTCTTGCATAAAGGGATACTGTCAAAGTAGGATATGATACACCCTATACTTTTTGTTTATGACAAATTTAACAAAGCATTTCAAAAAGCTGGGTTATTTTTTCTTTTTTTTTTCTTCATAGTATCTACTCAAACCTGATTAGTTAAAGGTTGTCACAGATGTGTTGATAACAGTATGGAAATTCCTCCAACTATGAACAAAGTAGGTTCAAAAGGATGTTCCTACGTCCATTTTTCCCTCAGTCCAAATTACTGTTACTTGCCCCGGCCAGTTTGGCTCAGCAGTTGAGCGTTGGCCTGCGGACCAGAGAGTCCCGGGTTTGGTTCCCGCTAGGGGCATGTACCACAAAAACAAAACAAAACAAATTACTGTTACCTTCTTACCATTCTCATTTTTATCTCTCCTGTCTATCCCTTCATCATCATATATCCATTCATTTTTAGTTTTTTCTTCAACAACAGAAAAATTTTCAAGCACACACAAAACTTTAAGTAATTCTATAGTTAGCAAGCAGATTAACAGGTCATATTAACAAAGGTGCCCATCACCTAGACTCTACCATGAGCATTTTACTATACTTTATCATAATCCATCTTTCCATCCCTCCAACCACCCATCAATACACTTACTATTTTTATGCATTTCAGAGTAAACTGAAGACATTAGTATACTTCACCCCTAAACATTTAGCATGCATATCATTAACCAGTGTTCATTTTATTTGCAGTTTCTTCTTTTAAGGGAAAATGTACATTCAATGATTTGCACAAATCTTAAGTGTACACTCAGTGAGTTTTGACAAATGCATACACCTCTGTAACCCAAACCTCTATCAATATATTGAAAATTACCATCATTCCAGAAAGTTCCCTCGTGCCCTTCCAAGTCAACTCCCCCCCCCTTGCCTCCTGCCCATCACAGATATATCTATTAATATAATACATTCACTACTTTTGCAGTTACAGACATGAGTCAATTCACAATATTTATAAACATCTCAAAAAACAATAACAGATATGACAGATTCCCCTCAGACCAGTGTTTCCACAAGCATAGCACATCACTAGCCTCAGCATTACTGAGATGGTCATTAAAAAAGCAGATTCCTGAGCCCCACTGCAGACCTTCTGTATCATAATCTCAGAGGATCAAGTTTAGGAATCTCATTTTCTGCCAGCTCCAAAGCTGATTCTGACTCAACCAAGGTGTAAGAACCCTTGCTTAGGCCTAATACAGAAGGCTTTGGCAGAGATTTAAATAACTGCCCATAGCCTGGCTTCTGTGGCTCTGTGGACTCAGTGTCATTACGTGGAATGAGAGGTCCCAATCTGGTTCCTGGCCAGGGCAGATGCCCGGGTTGCAGGCTCAATCCCTGGTAGGGGGTGTGCCGGAGGCAGCTAATCAATATTTTTCTCTCATACAGATGTTTCTATCTCTCCCTTTCCTCTCTCTCTCTAAAAAATCAATGAAAACATATTTTTTTTTAAAATAAATAACTTCCCATAACTGTTAACATCATCTATTGGTGATGGGCAGAAGTTTTGTTCCAGTAATTCTTTTACATCTTTAAAAGTTTAAAAGCAAAGAGTCCCTACATAGAGGAATTTCTATATAGCCACGTAAAAATACTCCCTTTCCATATTAACAAAAATTGGTAGAGGAGAAAAATGTGTGTATTAGGACCCAAATTTCAGTATCTTGAGATATCAAAGTGCTGTAGACCAATGAGACAGACCAGACTCAGACTCCGAACTGGGTTCAAATTGAGAGCTTTATTAGCTGTGCACGACTGTCCCATCCTACTCAGAGGAGAGAGCAACCCCGAGCTCAGGGGGAGGGTTGCTTATATAGTTGTCTTAGCCCGTTAAGGAATTTGGATTAAGGGTATGCGAGCAAGCAAGCACATACAGAAGCAGATATTTGCAGTTAGCTGTTATGCCTGAGGGAACAATCAGTTTCTGTGTACACAAAGCAATGGTTATCTATACAATGCAGTGGTTATCTATACAATGCAGTGGTTATCTATTAGCAGATAGTTCTTACCATTCCCTTAAAATCCAGGGGGCAAGGTCATGTGTTTGTCCTTTTCAAAAGAACAGTGGAATGTGTATTCCTACCGCCATCCTGAGTTTACTCGGACAGTGAAAATGGGTATGATTTTTGACTTGCCATGTGTGGCAATATCCTTTACAATGCCAGATTTACTAATTAATCACTTTTCTCCTTCCTTTTTATCCCACCACTACAGGTAGAAAAGTTCCATTCTGTCTTTAAACCCTGCAGACCCTTGGAAGGACGAATTGCTCGACTGGTTCAGAACCGACGTCCTCTGGAGTCTACTGTCCAGCAAAGACCACCTTCCTGTCCCGACTGTACCCCTAGAGTTTTGTGTAACTTTCATACCTTCATACCCAGTTCTACAGAATTGATGGCAATTTGTGATAACACACCAGCAAGTAAGACCCATAAATACCAGGAAATTGAAGACAAGATTAAGGACGAACAAAGCTTGTTTTCCACCTATGCACGCCCACCTTATTGTTACTCAGTGAAAGATCTGACTAATACCGATGACATACAACTATTTCCAAAAATCACAGATACTAGAAAGATAGAAGATTTGTACTGGAGACAGCTGTCATTAAAACACCCTCCTTTTCCTTACTGCAACCCAAACCATTACATTCAATATGAACATCTTAAATCTGCCTTACATGACCCATATGCTATATGTCAAAACCCTGTTAGCTTTAGTAAGCCTAGATTTTTACAAAATAAACCTGACTTGGAAGCTTTTGATATAGAACATTTTTTAAGCAAGCCAGAAGAACAGATGACCTTGAACACAGAAAACGATGAAGAAACAAGATCTCTTCTGGGTTGGATTCCTAGAGCTGGAGTGGCCAAGCCTCACAACAACCTGCTGGAACTTAAGAACTCTTTTTCAAAAACTAGTGCACAAAAACGTTTCCATAAATCAATTCTAGAAGACCCTAAAGACCTCAGGGATAAGGTGCATTCAGGGATGAGACACCAATTCTATGACCATAATTCCTATTATTTCTATAACTAAGATATTCATCTTTCCCTCCAAAACCCAGCCTCTTGCAAGAAAAGTATAATAGAATTTCTTCCTTGTTGCTGGATTCTGTTTTATAGAGGAGCCATAATGACCTTGTTAATGAGGATTATGTTTTCAGGAATTTAAGTTAGGATCTGATCAGAGGAACTCAGAAAAGGTGATGTTTTGACTTCTTGAGAAGTTTAACAGTTTGGCAATAAAATATTAGAACCAGAAAAACTATAGTCTTTAATCTCATTTTCAAATTATATTCCAAGGAATTTTCTAAAACAATGTGTATGACAAAATTTACATTATTGTTTTTAAAAAATGAGTATCTGGGAAAAAAAACCCTCAAATGCCCAATAATTGACAGATGTCTATACAAATTATACTACCTTAATAAAATAAATATGTGAACACTGTCCCTTTATGTAAACATTTGTACAAAATAACATTAGGTACAAAAGACAAAACTCAAATGCCCAGTTAATTGAGGGATGGAGAACTGTAAAAACTATATTACCTTAACAAAGTAAGTATGTGGGGCCTGTTCTTTTATGTAAACATGTAAATAAAATGTCAATAGAAAAGATGAAACAAAGTGCTCTGCATGCATACACTCTAAACTAGATGTTTCTTTTCCTTAAACCTTCTGATAAAGAAGCATAACCATTTCTTTAATGCAGAAAAAATGCTTGTATTGTGAAGATCTGGCAATGGCTTTAATTAGTAACTGGTGAGTTATTATGGTAAGAAAGGATGGTTTCTTAGTCCATTTGGCCTGCTATATAACAAAGTGCCATCTACCAGGTGGCTTATAAACATTTATCACAGTTCTGAAGGTTGGAAAGTCCAGGGTCACGGTGCTGGCAGATCTGGTGTCTGGTGAGGATCTCACTATAACCTCACATGGTGGAAGGGGTGACGAATCTCTGGGGCCTCTTTTATAAGGGCACTAATCCCATTCATGAGGGCTCCGCCTTCATGACTAATCACATCCAAAGGCCCCATTCTTGTAAATCACTTTGGGGATTAGGATTTCAACGTGAATTTTAGGGTAAACATGTAGACCCTAACAAGTGGCTTGATATCAATTATCCTAAAGCCAAATGTCATCATTTTTGGAAGGTCTGCAAGAGTTTAGCTAACTCCAGAGGCAGGTTAATTCACTTAATGTGCCAAAAGGTGCATTTCAGATATAGTTTATCATGGAAAGTTCATAAGGAAATTCTAGGAGGGGGTTTTGAGATTTAATGTTTTTGTTTCATAACCAACATGTCATTTGGTTACACCCTCTTTAAAACTTTTCTGGGCTAAAATTCTGGAATTTTTTTTCCAAACTCTTTTTTTATAATAGTAGTTATATTAGATATAATGGGAAACAAAATTTACATGGTAAAAATAATACTGGAGAAAACTGGGACCAACAAAGTCAATCATATGACTTTATCACAGGATACTCCATAACCTTTAAAATGTAACATTTGGAAATGTCTGAGGTGAAGGGGATAGAGTATACACGCATTCCTCAAACTAATGCGAATGTTTTATCATAAAGCATATTGTTGGTCTATGATTCCAAGGAACAAATTGTGGAAGATGCAACTCTGCAATATAGGAATTGGGGGTTTTGATTGCACATTTTCCCCTGCAACGGGGCAGAGAACTGCACTCTATGGGTATTCACTCCACCCAACTTTGACCAGCAGTGGTGCAGCCTTCTCTTCAGACATCTGTCCTAGTCATCATCTTCAACACTCCTGAGATGTCAACCCTACTCCCAACGGCTCATTGTTAAGGCTAATGGATCTGGCCTTATTTAGGTAACAGAGAATACCTACACTACAAGTATGTTCATCATGTGCTGTCTTAAAAAATATTTATGGAGGCTTCCAGATTCAGACAGACTGAACCCATACACCTCATTTCACTTACTCTAAAAAGTCCATGAAAAACTACAGTAAAGTTTTTGGTTTGTTTTTTATTGAATTTTGTTTTTGTATTATCCTATATACAAGAGCATAGGTGGATTGGGGGAGCAGAGGCATTAGGAACATTTTTGGGAAGGAGATGATTACAAACAACGGATCCTAACTAGCTAAAGACACTAGAGCCCTACACTGGCAGTGGGGAAAACAGCCCAATTTACACGTCAGAATCCTCTAAAAGGCTCCAGAACTGAGTCCCTGGAATGTATGAGGCAGGAATGGAGGGAGGTGGGGGTTACTAAATCAAGGAACATTGCAAGTGAAGACAGTTGGCTACCCAGCCCCACTCCCCAGTGCTAGGTAACTGCCCGCCCTCATCCTGGCAAAAGTCCTGAGGATTATTTTCTGAAGAAAGGTAAAACAGGATTCCTGGCATGCAGAACGCAGGCATAGCTGAAGGCTGGATACTGTTCTGAAAACGGGAATGAGTGCTTTTATCAATAAGGATCCCGGCAGGAAACGGACCCTCAAAAGCTTCCACTGAGGGGAGTTTAGTGCAGCGATTCTTCACGAGATGTGGGTAGGGTTGTGGGAACCTCAGAGGTGGGGCACCCAGGAACTAGCAACAGCAAGAAGCCTTACCACTCCCAACCCTGCAGGAAGGAAGGGCCCAGTGTTAACTGGCAATCCCAACCAGAAGCCAAGGGCAAGGGGGCTCAGGGGATACTGTCCTTAAACACCCTTGTCCTAAGGCAAAAAATGGTGGAATATGGTTCTAGATGGGCAGGAAGAGAACAACCAGCACAGTGACCTTACGAACACTGGCTCCTCAGTGAAGCGGGCAGCCCCTTCCCCGCCAGGCTACCAGGAAACCGACAGGCATCAGCCCTCCAAGAGAGGGTCCCAGCTCAGGCTCAACATCGATCGCCACATTCTGCCTTCTTTTTCCTGTTCTCACACTGTAAGCAAAGTGTCTTTTTTTGCGGTCTACTTCCTGCCACGTTTTTCATGTTTGTCCTTCGTGGGTGATTGGGCTGTTTCAAAGGGCCCCCCGAGCGTAGCGCTGAAGTGCCTGTTCCCAAGAAGTCTGTGAGGCGCCTTGGAGAGTGTGTGTTGGATTTGCTTCGCTCGGGGGCGTAGATGCTGCCTACACACCCTCCTCCTCTCCACACAAACGCGAGGGAGCGACTGGTGTTGGCAGAAAGGAAGCCGACCGGCGAGGGGCAGAGCTATAGCCCCGTCTCCCGGGCACCTGCAGAGCCTCCCCCAGTCCCAGGGCGGCCGTCGAGGGGAGACTGGAAAGATGAAGTAACAGGGTGGAGCCCCGGCCGGGGGCTCAGTGGGTAGAGCGGCGCCCGGCGGACCTGGGAGTGGCGGGTTCCCTTCGGGTCAAGGGCGCGCACCTCCGTTGCGGTTTGGTCCCGGCCCTGGTGGGGGTGAGCGGGAGGCAGCCACTCGGTGTGAGACGCGTCGTGTTTCTCTCTCTCTCCCTCCCTCCCTGTCTGAAAATAAATGTAAACATATCCTATGGTGAGGGTAAAAAAAAAAGTAACAGGGTGGAGAAAGAACAAGGTCAGGTGCACGCGTCCAACTCTTACAACTCCCGATTCCGGGCTATTCCTTCGAGTGCAGCCGGCGACCGCCGTGAAAGTAGGAGCAAGTAGGTGCAAAGGTCTCCAGCTGACGGCGACGCGGACAGGGGACGTCTCTCCGGGAAGGACCACGTCAGCGAGCACCAGGGCCGTCACCTCAGCAAGACAACGCCCTCGACCCAGCACCCGACCGCACTCTCCTCCGGGTCGGCGCACGCAGGCACTCCGAGGCGGGAGGGTGATGTCAGCCGCTCCCGGCACCACCTCCGAGCCGTACGTCCAGGGCACTGTCGTAACTGCCGGGCAAGCGAGGGTTCGACAGGAAGGGCACACACGCGATACACCCTACCCTGCTAGCAGGCATGCGCGCGCAGGTCGTGGACGCAGCCCTGGCAACAACGACCAATGAGATGCAGTAACGTCACTGCGTACCAGTCGGCCCGGCTGCACCTCGGGCCGCAAAAGGGCGGGGCGAGTTCGGTTGCACCAACACCGGTACATAGGCGCGGACCGGCGTGTCCTTGGACTCAGAGAGCGGGACGTCCGGCTTGCGAGTGAGAGTCTTGGTGTCGCGCGCGACTAAAGAGCGGTGAGCGCAGGGCACAGAGTACACAGAGGGTGGAGGCCGATCCATGGGGGCGCGCACCAGTGTCGGGGGCGCGCGGGCGGTTGGAGGCCTGCGCCTGGGGTGTCCGGGTGGAGCCCGCTCGGGCGGGCCAGGTCGGGAGTTAGGACTCCAGGCTATGGCCCGTCTGGACCCGGTGGACTACGGCTTGGCGGGGGAACCCCAGCCAACTAGGTCAGCGCTCTGAAAGCCCGGAGGCGGCTGGGAGTCAGACCCGCCTGGACGCGGTTCTCCTGTTGGGCTGAGGGGCTGTGGAAAGGATGGGCTAGACTTCCTGGGGTGAGGGTGGGAGCAGAGAACGGTGTGCAGCGCTCCTCGTTCTAGGAGGGCAAAAACTGCTGCTTCGATGAGGGGTAGTTTTTTTTCTGATCACCTGTCGCTTCTCCCCTCAACCTGCTCTGGCATCACAGGAAGTCTTCACAGTCTCCTGAAACCGGCCTGGATGGGTGACCTCGTGGTCGCCCCCAGGGAGCCCAGCGCTGGAGAATGGGGCTCTGTGGGAGACAGCCCGCCGCTGACCTCTCACCCCACAGCAGGGCAGTGTCGGGTGACCTGCGCAGTCAACCCTGATCTCCTTCTTAATGTACTTTGCCTCGTATTTAGAGAAAGAAATGGCTATAAGTTGTTGTATGAATAGGCATTCACATTTCTGTGATTTGGGGCTTAACGGACTCACCTTCAAACTTAGTCAGATTTGTGACTTTTTGTGACCTTGACATCATCTTTTGAAACCGTTTGGAACTAGGTTCCCGTTTTGCTTACTTGAGCTTGCTTTACCGCACTCAACAGATGTGCTTTTCAAGGAATCTTCCAAGTAGTATTTTTGGTATTATAGAGTCTGCAAGTGTACTAAGTAAAACAAGACTGGTCCTGGTATTTAATGTCACAGAGATTCCACTGTGTTTTTACTAGGAGGAAGGACTTAATAAATTGAGTCTTTTATTTTTAGGTTTAGAAATGGGTGATGTTGAGAAGGGCAAGAAGATTTTTGTTCAGAAGTGTGCCCAGTGCCATACCGTGGAAAAGGGGGGCAAGCACAAGACCGGGCCAAACCTCCATGGTCTATTTGGGCGAAAGACAGGTCAGGCCCCTGGATTTTCTTACACGGATGCCAACAAGAACAAAGGTAAGAGGGAGACAGTTAAATAACGCAAGCACAAATTCCATGAATGTAACCTGTGGTAAACCCTTTATCAGGCATGTAAAATACTTACCAGTACATCTCTCCTTCTTTAGGCATCACC